GAGTGGACCTTGCCGGATGGGCAGTGCCATGGCACCACCGAACAGCGACCACCAAGCGAAGAAGTGAGTGAAGAAGCGAGGCGTGCAATGGACCGTATTATAGCTCCTTGACGGCTCGACATTATTGGACATCCAATCACGGTCGACTGGGGCTCGGACAGCAATCGACAAGTGGATATGCTGGCTTCGGAAACCGCGGAAAGCATCATATGGCTGGTCCTCGGATTTGACATGGTGAGGTGCCCGCAGCATAATATCGTAGTGCGGTCGGAACTCGAAGCTGCGTTTTCCGTCCTGAATCGCGCGTTCAAAGACCAGGCCGGCCATCCACTGCACCTTGCCAGATAGCTTCATCACCACCTTTTTGAAGGATGCCCCGGACTTGTAGCTGTCTTCGCTCATGAGACTGTCGTCTTCTCCGGTGCGTCTTGCAGCTTCTCGGATCTGGTGGCTGTAGTCGGGTATGGCAAGAACGTACTCCCCAGAGTCAACCGTCATGAATCGCTTCGGGTCGTCGTCAGCATTGATGTTCCACTTGACTTCATTGCGCCAACACATCAGGAAACCCGCGCCGTTGCCTGTCACACAGTAAGGGTCACGGGTTCCCTTGAGCGCTAGATGCATATCGCCGTCGCCCCTCCACGCTACATGTATTCTGGAGTGGAAGTTGAGACGAATCTTGTCCCAGAAACCGACTCTCTCAGACAGATCAATCTGAGGCTTGGTAAAGGACTCGATGCCCATCATCATGTCTTGAATAGCTGGCTGGTATGCTGGACCCCAAGTAATCCTTGTCGGCAGAGCTGTGTTGATTTCAACACGCATGTTCGAGTACGACTTGACTGGTCCGATGGTCCGCCGGACGTCGATCGCGAAGCCACCCTCGTTGCTACCGCCGGGTTCGTGGGTCCGAGGAGGAACAATGTTGACTTTAATGCGGCGGGTAGACTCCATCCCTCGGAACTCTTCGGCAATGACGAAGTTTGTCTTGAGCGACATAGCTGGAAGCCTTGTCGACTGGCCCGCCTTCAAGCTGGGAATGTGAATCAAAGGAAGTGGATAGTCGCGTAATGATATCCTCGCCTCGCTAAGATCGATCGATACATGCATCGGGACGAGCAATCCATACTTCATATCCTTGGGCATCCCCTTTCCGACGGAGTTGATAAAGTCTGGCAGATCCTTCATGGCGAACGTAGGTTTGTCAATGACGAACTGCAGATCGGTGATGAGTGCAGATGCGAGCGCGGGTCGTTGTGGTACTTCGAGGATGTTCTCCGTATCCTCCAGATCGTCAGGAAGCTGGTCAGGACCCCAGAACAGTCCTCGAATCTCCTTCATGCCGTTCTTGGCCATGACGTAGAACCGATCGATCCGCTTCTTCCAACTTTGTGCGTTGTAAGCGTCCAGCCTCGCCCGGGCTTCTTGCTCGGCGACCTTGGAGGATCCAGTAAGGCCGACACCTCCGCCGTCGGGGTCGTATCGTGGTGCTCTGCCCCGTGAGCGTTCGTCTCTGCTGCTAGGTCGCCGCCCATCTGCACTTTGGCTCCTGGCCCATGAAGCCCCGTTTTGCTGTCGTCCCCTGTTGAAAAGCGAGCGAGCACGCAGCTTGCCTGACTCCTTCCTCGACTCTTCTTCGCGGACCTTTTTACTCTTGACTTCGAAAGCTTCTTCGCGAGCAAGTCGCTGCATCTGCTCCACTCTGCCCGCGCGGTAGATCATTCCGAGTTTCCATTCAAAGGCGCCATCTTCCATCTCAAAGAGTAGTGACCGTGTCCGCACAGAAACCTTGGGAACCTTCTTTGGTCCACCAGGGACCTTGTCGAGGATGTACTCGTTCGTACCCGTCTTGAATCGGTGGTGGAGCTGCTTGATCGACTTGAGGGTATTGATAATGTTGTCGGAGATCTTGTTGACCTGGACCTCGTGAGGTACGGCGAATCGGATGGCGTCAGAGTTCACGTCGATCATCTTGTCTTCTTGGACTTCGCCACCTGTCAGCTTGCGCCGGGACTTGCGATAGTCGACACGGCCGCCCTTGATGCTGACCATTCTGGCCCAAGTGCCTCGCATCCTAGGCGGTTGTACGTAGATTCGAACGAGCTTGGACGCAATGTACGGCGAAGACCACCTGTGCCGGCCAGCCTCTACACCATAGACCTGGACCATCAACTGAGGATCGTTTGGCAATTCGGCCTTGATTTGCACAAGGGCTGCTTTCAGGTCGATGACCACAAGCTCAGGCGTCAAGGTGGAGTAGTCGCTCATGTCAATAAAGGGAGACCCTGGTGACATGGGGGGAGCCAGGAAATCGGCATTGCCGTCTTTCCGCGGCGTCGTCGGCGACATTGGCGGCGATCCAACATCTTGGCCTGACCTCATGAAGGCTTTCCGTACAATCATGATGGCAACGCCAACCGAGTAGTGGCGGAAGAGAGAGTACTGCAGGAGAACAGTCCTGATCCCGGCATGAATGTGGAAAATCGGACCCTGCTGGTCACTCATAGCCTGGAAAGCAACCTCGAACCGCGGCATGTTGACAAACGGCTCCAGCTCGACCCTGTCCTCCGATTCAACAATGTAAGCCTCAAGGCCACGGACGTGAAACGTGACCCTCCGTCCATCGCCATGGTTCTGCTGCTTCTTCCTTGGCGGCGGGGAGATTGGACTTTTGAGCAAGTCCGAGTCAGGGGCGACGGTACGGCTATTAGCCCTACGCCGCGATGGCCGCCGTTGAAGCCCCTCGAGCCTTTGCGCGCGGTACTCGGCAGAGAATTCGTCCAGCTGTAGGGACACTCCGCGAGTATCGTCTGAGATGTCTTCGTCGATGCCGGCAATCTCGATGCTAAAGTCTGACGCTTGGAGCTGAAACTGCAACAACCAAGACGGCATTGCGCGAAGGAAGTTTTGCTGCTTGGTGGACGTGTGCGAATTCGAACGCTTCTCAGGCTCGACGTTTAACCGCAGTTGTCGCACAATCTGTCTGAGACCGTCGGTAATCTCGGGGCGCACCATCTTGATCGAGAAGGTCTGCAAATTGCTCGAGGCAACAACATGGACGTCTGGCGTAGCACTGAGTTGCACCTTAAGCTCGAAAGACTCGGTCTGAATTAGGTCGAATCGGCTACTCGATGACGTCTGATAGTACAGTTCGTGCGACTGGATCCTCATAGTAGACGCGAGCGAATAGTGCAAGTCCTCCACCGTGGAATGGAACGATTCCATGTCGAGCGATATTGATGAAATCGAGGATATGATGAGGTCAAAGTCGTCGGGTGCCGCGTGCTGGTCAACTGCGGGCAGGGCGACTCGTAGGACTGGCTCGTGCATGGTAAACTTGATATTAGCCTTGGGCAGGAGTCGTGATATGAGCACATGCCGCGGTTGCCGGCTAGATCGTGACCTCTTGGAGGACTTCGGCTTCAGCATGGCGACGAGGAGCGGCAGATGGCGAGGGTCGAGATCCACCGAGGGGGAAGTTACTACGGAATTAGCGAACAGTATGTTTGCGTTTCTCTCCTCGGCTCCAACATCCTGCGCCATCTCGACCGTCTTGGACGGCAGCGTCGTCTTGACCGTCGTTGTCGCCATTGGGATATAAAGCAGTCTCTCCGGTTTTCCGTCCCCATCGTCGACGCCGACGGAGATGGACAGGGCCGCAGCGAGGGCTTCGTGGGCGATGTCCTTGGACGGGAAGTACATCCTGTGCGACGGAGACTTGGGGTCCAAACGGTGCAAGTCTATACCAACTTCCTTCATCGACGCATTCAACATGACGGGCTTGGCACTAGGCTTGACGGACCCCACCCTCTTGGTCATGCCAACAAAACTGACGGCAAACTGGACCTCCTTAACGCCCCTCAAGATGGAACTGACAAACTCCTTGGAATCGGACACGGTCTGGATCAGGTCCTGGTTGGTGCTGCCAGGTTGGGCGACCTCATGTATGACCTTGTCCATGAAGACGTCGGCTGGCTCGTCAGACAAGGTAGACGAGCGCGCGGCCAACTTGCACTGCTTGAAGCGATCGGCGCACACGCGAACGTCATCGTAGGGTATATGAACACGGCCCAGCTTGAGGGCAATCGCAGCGTCCCGCAGCCCATCCAGCGCCTCGTACAGGAACCCATGGATATTCAACGTCGCATTGTCGAGAATTTCGAGAGACTCCTTGCCCTCGGGCGTGAACAGAACGCTGCGCAGCGTCATGATCCACTCCGCCTGCCGCTGCTTCTGCTTATTCTTGTCGTTGCGAGCCTGGAAGAAGAAGCGAGCGCGGTCCACCATCTTGCGCCGCGTGTCGACGGCGACGGTCAAGCTCCCAAACTGGACGTCGCCAACGTCGACGACCTTAATCGTGGAGTTTGTGGCGACGACGTCCACCATCCGCAGCCAGTTGAGCTTGCGGTGCGCCCTCTTCATCCGGTCCTTGAGCTTCATCAAGTGCTTCCATGTCTCGCTCCGGGGCGGGGGTCCGCCGTTTCGACGTATGAGTGGCACCTTGGGCTGCTGCTGTTCGGCGGCCGGCACCTCCGGCTCTTCCTCCGCATCGGTGCTGCTGTCGGAGTCGGTCGAGCTGTCCTCGCCCTTCTTGCCGTCGAGTTCGCGAATGTCGACCGTGACGGTGAGCTCGCTGATGACGACGCTCAGCCAGGTGGGCTGGGCAAAGGTTGGGCGGTGGACGTTGAGCCCGAGGCCGCGGACCTCAATCTTGAATCCATCTCGTGGGGTGTAGGCGAGTCTCCGGAGGGAAAAGTAGCCGATTCGCTGGATCGATACGCCGGTGAGGATTCGAACGACGGCGAAGAGGATGAAGGAGGATAGATAGAGGAGGACGACGACGCCGAAGAGGAAGGTCGGATTGAGCAAAGCCATAGTGAGTCGGCAGAACGACTCGCGCGATCGGTGGCTCGCTTCGGTATCTGTATCACCATCACCATGAAGGCAACGTCAGCTTCCCAACAACTCCCGCGCAAATAGTGTGGATGTGAATAGTACACAACAAGGGCCATGTAGTGAAATGGGAGGCGCAGAGGGCAGGGCGGCGTACCTGGAAAAGACCCAGATCTCTGTGGTATCCCGCACGTTTATATCCGTTTCCTACAATCCGAGCGCGCCATGTCGTCGATCAACGATGCTTGGGGTGTTGGTTTGTGGGTGTGGAGAGGTAACACTCGGCTTTGGGGCAGCAGAGTTTCGGCGCCTTCGCGGTTACACTTGTCAACGGTGATGTACAGTTTAGCTAGCGAGTGCAGATGGTCGATCGCGAAGATTTGGGAGAGGAATCGCGCAGACGGTTGCAGGGGCGGATGGCGGCGGGTGAGACTGATGATCGGATCCCTTGGTTGGCCCGGAAGGGAGAATGGAAATGTGGTGGGATCGGAAATGGGGACGTTGGTGGGAGGTTTTGGGGTAAACCTGGCGGCGATGTGGAGCAGGGCGGAGATAGAGAGACGAGGAGAGAGAGAGAGAGAGAGAGAGAGAGAGAGAGAGAGAGAGAGAGAGAGAGAGAGAGAGAGAGCACGTTTCGTTGGGGGCGGCGGGCAGAAGCAGGCGGAACCAAAACTAGTTGAAAAAGGCCTAAGTTAGGTTGGACGCGTAGGATATTGCCTATAGCAAGAGCATAAAAGTGTATAGAAAGAAAAGGAGGGAAAAGGTGCGGACCGGAGGTGCTGGTGGAGGATGTAGGTCTCGCTCGTCTTGTCTTGCAGAAGAGTGACGCAGTCGCCAGGTCCAATGTAAGCCAGGAATTGGGACTCGCAGTTGGGATTTGCGGTTGGCGAAATGCGAGAAGACGTCGTTCGCCTAAGCCCTTGTCGTTTTCTTATTGCTCGGCACGAGGCGGCGGCTGTCCACACGGAACCCTGCTGCCGCTTCTGGATGACAGAGTAATAGCAGATTGCTCCTATTCCCGAGGTGTTCCAGTCCCCATTCCAGTACGGAGTATTAGGTAGTCTCCAGTTTCCTCTCCAGGTGATGGGGTACTTCCGACTCCTGGGCACCAGGGCAGCGGTGCAGTATTCGTACTCGTCTCGTCCGTGAGTGTGTGTGTATGTGTGTGTGTGTGAGGAATGGTCCGGATGGTCGGATGGGTCGGATAGCTCAGATAATGACATAGCATAGATCCAATGGGGGCTTGTGGACGATCAACGGCGCGATGGCGTACCTACCTAAGGTAAGGTAGCTAAGCTTCCCAAGGACCAAGATACGGTACCTAGACTAAAAACAATTCACACAAGCTGAGATGGATTCCAATAGCAATAATTATCACTGATAATTAGTGCGAGAGCGAGAGACAGGAACAATTGGTAAGACTTGGGCCTAGACAGAATGGGGACAAGCACGGTTCGGCCTAGGCTTGGCTTGGAATTGCAAAGGGACGGGCGGGGCGGCGGAATCCAGGAACAGGGCTGTTGGGGAATTTGGCGGGTGGAAATGAAGCCTTGGTCAGCATTGCGTCCACTTGCATCTCTTTGAATGGTGGCTATGGACTCGAGATGGTATGGAGTATGGTAGTTTGTCTCTATGACAGGAAATATGTCATGGTGCATATTGAAGGAAGAGACGTGATGGAATTACTCCGTTGGAATGTGTCCAGTTGTCGAACAAATACCTTGCTTAGCTAATGGAAGGTAAGGTACGTAGATGTGCACCTGGCCCGGAGTTATGGCTCCCTTCACTCCCGAATTCCCGTCCAATCGATGCAAATCCCACCCTCAGCCACTTCCGGCCTTACCCTTTTCTCATTGGCCTCTCCGTCTTTCAATGTGGAGACTCCCGCGCGCCAGGTATCCACCCCTTCTCCGGCCTACCTACCTGTCACCGCGTGGTACCAGCCGTCCGGAGCATCACATCGGAGATCCTCCTCCATCAATTCAACAATTACTTGCATCACTTCACACTAACACTTCGTATGCACCTCACCAAATCACTTGCATCAGCGAGGGGCCGTGCTCATGCTCCAGCTCAACCCATCAATGCGCCGCTGCATCGGACGGTACCATCGCCTTACGTCTCACAATGTACTTGTGCCTGTATTCGTGCCTGGTTATCCCCCCCTCGCCCTTGTTGCCGCCGAAGCTAGGGCTGCTCCAAGGATCTAGCACGTGCAGCAAGCGCGCCTCCCCAATACCCTTCTTCCTCCCTGCACTTGCTATCAAGTTGTAAGCCTTCGGACTTACGAAGGGACTACCTAAACAACCAAGTGTAGACCGAGATATTGTCTTGGTGAGGGAGATAAGCACGGCAGGGTGCATGGATACTTGCAAGGGCCAGGAGCCTCACGAGGAGTATCTCAGCCTTTCTCCTCCTATTCCCATTGCCGAATGAAACGAATGCCAGCCTGGCCCAGATCTAGACAAGCTCAAGATTGCCTTTAGATATCATCGGGGTCGAGTTAGGCAGCCAGGTTCAAGGATTGAAGGTTATGTAAAGTCTGTGACTATCTCATTTTCAAGTATATCGTTTGTTTTGTTTTTCTGCCCTATTGCTCCAAGTATATCATTTACATGCGAAATATCGAAACATCTCTATTCCGCTTATCAACTATATTCCTAATTATCAAGTAAACTTGACCGTTGAATAATCGGGAGCTACAGGGGAACAGACGTAGCCAACTGACAAGTCAACGGCGGCTTCAAAGACGAGTCATGTCCGCGGTGCTCTGATAGCATGTGGCCATTCAAGTAAGCTAGTAGCTGAGCATCAGTCTTCTCCTTCGTCTTGACATTTGACATGGGATATTAATCAATTAATAATCTTTATCAAAATACAAAGGCACCACCGGACAATACCCATCCCTCGGCGGATCATGCTTCATCCCAACCTCAACCTTCAACCCATCACACGCAGCAGTATCCCCGTGCAACGCAAACCACGACGTCTCGAGCAAAAAGTCCATGAACCGCTTCCCCGCTTCCGGCGAGACCTTCTTGCCCTTGTCCTCTTTGAAAAACACCCTCTTCCACCCGGACGCCTCGCACCACATGATGATGAGACACCACCGTCGCGGCTTAGCCCCGGCGCCGTTGGGTCCGTTGAAGCTGCTGCCGTGATGAACGAGATTCACACAAAAGGCATGAACCTCCTTCCCCGCAAACGTCTTGCTCGCGTGCGCCGCCGTCTGCAGGTACTCCTGCGGATCGGCCTCCGCGTCGTCGCCAACCTGCCACGACGTCAGCGCGTCGTTACACGAGAACAGCTGGAACAGTAACTCTGGCGTCCTGCCGCGCTCGACGTCGTATGCCGGCAGAACCTGTTTCTGAAAGGACCTTGACATTTTGAAGCCCGGCAGTTCGGAGAAGCGCGGGAAGTAAGAAACCGAGACCAATGAAGAACCGCGGCTGGCCTGCTGTCGGCGGCGCGCGGCGTACCGGGCGGGCATGGATACGTTGGCCAGCGGGATCGGGAGGTTCGCCTGCGGTCTGGACCTGTGCCGTCCAAATGTTGATGTGAAGGACGTGGTCCAGAGCGGGATGCAAATGACTGTATCGTCGTGGTTCTTGATGTCGTGTTTGCAGTTGATGGCGGCGTAGACTGTCGTCGAGGAGGCTGTTCTGATGAGGGGCAGCGTCATGCTCAAACCTAGATTCGTCATTGTGAATTCCTTTACGAGGGACCAGTTGTCGTCCGCGGCGGTTCTGCATTTCACGACCTGTCCGCAACCCGAGAATGCGGATGGGTGCGGCGCCAGCAGCGTGACCCAGAGGTCGCGGCGGGGGTCCATCGTCTTCTCGGTCCAGTCCCACGCGAAAAGGCTCTGGTCCGTCGAGACCTTCATGATTTCCTCTTGTAGCCTGCGGAAGGCTTCGTGACCCTCGCCGTAGAGCAGAGGCATGTGGATCTGGAAGATGCCGAGAAGGCAGTACGCCGTGTCCTCGGTCCGCGTCGTCTGGCGGCTAGACGCCCACGACATCCTCTTGGCGACGCAGGCGGAGGAGAGGGTCTGCGGGTAAATGAGGACGTCGACGTCGATGCCCGTGATGGAAGCAATGGAATACGCCAGAGTCTCCTTGGTCCCGATGGGCTCCCACGTGCTATCGTAAAACGTCATATCCGCGGGCGCCAGCAGCTCCTGTAACGTCCAGCCCCGCGTGAACCACCGGCACTGACGTAGATCGACCCTTGTCCCACCGGGCTTGAGGTCTTCCAGGTGAACGTAGCAGATGGAGGCGCCGCGGTACCAGGCGAACATGGAGTTGATGGCCTCGGAGAGCTCGGCGCTGCTCTTCTTGTCGATGCAGTTCGTGTCGACCCAGACGTGGCTAATGCCTTCTTGCCGGGCGATGCGGCACGTGTTTGCAATCTTTTGGAACCCGCGCTTGGAGTTGATGTGTTTGCGGGAGCCGAGGTCGTCTTCTTGCCATAGCAGCCATTCTTGGAAGGTGACCTCGTCGGTGCCCCATGTGTGTGAGAGGATGGCGTATTTGGGGAGATCTGAGTCGAAGAAGTCTTCGAGTTGTAGTGTTGAGGTATTAATTAGCCTCATAGTGTACAATCTATATATACATCGATTGATAAGGATGATATTGACTATGGGAAATGACCATTGCGAAATGGTGTCGTTGCTGATGTGAGAGGATTGTTGGAGATGCGGGTGCTCACTCTTGAAGATGTATCTAATCGCACAAGGCTAGGTTGCATGCATGCCTGGCCAATCAACGTCAGCATGATAATGATGCCAGGGGTAGTCTCGAGTTGGGTGCAACTCCATCTGACGCTCCGAGATCTTCATCTGGTGTTACGCGATGAGCAAGGTGAGTGCAGTACAAACATCGACATAGTGAGGAAGAGTTGGTGCCTTGATAGAAATGTGAAAAGGCTCCTCTATAAAGGGCAAATAAGTAAAGTCTTGCTTGTTGGTACAATTTACAGTTGTAATGCTGACAGAGTTATACATGTTGATGAAACAGACGTAATGCTCTGCTATCGGGCATCTCGTGGTTGTGCTGCGTCCTTCGGGGGTGGCGGAGGAGCTGCTGCCTTTGCGGCGCGAAGCTCTACAATCTTTTCGTCAATGAGAGCGATCTCGGCGTCTATCCTGAGCATCTTCTCATCAATCATGTCGCGGTACTCGTCATCTGAAAGCTTCTTCAGAGGACTCCAACTTGACTCGAAGATGCTCTTCTTCTTTTCCGTAACCTCCGGTCTGCCTTGCGATGCGTTCACAAAGGCCTGTCCCGTTCCTCCGATGAGGGAGAACACGATGACTCCTGGGATGATGTTTTTTGGGCCACCTGATGAGCGTTAGAAGCGGTCAATATCTCAGGAAGGGGGTACTCACGAATTAGTCCTCCAACCATTCCTGCCGTGCCTCCTGCAAGGGCACTTGCTTGGATCTTGGATGGGTTGGAGAGCTTCTCTTCGCCGCCCCACGCGGCCATAACTACAGACCTCGAGACTATCGCAAAACTTTCAGTACGCCGTCATGAAGAATGTGAGAAATCCAGCCACATACGCCAGTAACTTGAACCGAGGGCGAACCACTGGATACCAGATGCTACCGCGAACAGAGCTGGTGTGGAGTCCCGGATAATGCCGCCTGCAATGCCACTGAACATGCCGACGGTGCCTGTCAAAGATGTCAGCTGTAGAACCGTGCTTTACTTCGAGATGAGGCAGCCCTCAGATAATGAATCTGATGGGGTTCTGCCTCCGACGTCGTCACTTACCAGTCATTGCACCAACTTTCAGGGGCGGACCCAAGAGATCGACCAACCCTGGTGGCAGCAAACCTCGAGGCTGCCGCTTCCGCCTGGGCTCTTCTGTGCCATCTCTCGCTTCATCTGACATGATGAAAGACTGAAAGATCGGGTTGCAGCATAAAATGAGATGACGATGAGCTGACTTACAGTCGATGGGCCCGATCAGATGTGTAGGTTGTTCTGGAAGCTTTGGGCAAGGGTGGAATACATGCATCAAACGGGGTAGTAGTAATCAAGCGAGTTGGCGACGTTGTTCAAATGTTTCGTGCGGCTCAAAACGAGATTGAGCCGTGCAGACCCGATAGATGCAAGAAAGGCGGGGGTGATGTTCAACTGCAGGCGCACATCATTCACTTTTTTTTCTCCTTCCAAGTTGATGACCTCAAGCTTGTACCTTGTACCTAGGCACCGATAGATCCGTAGGTACCAACAGCAGTGAAGGGGCCATCCGTGGCACAGCACAGGGCGCGGTGGGCAGGGGAAGTTGAACGGGAAGGGAGGGATGGAGGGGAGTGGAGGGGGAAACACAGGCGGGAAAAACGCTGAGGCCCCAAGGCTCACCCCGCTGAAGTCACTGGAAGCACTGGGCACTTGTGGCACTGCTCAGTACCAGTGTACGGTGGCACGGTGGGCAGCAGGCTGTGGAACACCTAAAAAAAAAACGAAGAAAAAAACAGCCCCTCTTTCATAAATGGGAATTGTTCAATCACGGGGTTTCCCGGTGGTCATGGCCCGAGCGTCTTTGGCGGGGCGCTAGGTTGAAAAGGTGAGCTAGGCCGCGGCGGGGCTAGTGCCTCCCACTCCTGGCCACCTCGAGAAAATTGTCCAACCCTCACAAACTTTCAATCACCCTCTGCCTCTCTGCTGCGCGGGTAAAACTTCGACCCTTTCTTCCCCCCAAAAAGACTACCAGCCCCAGCAAATCACCGCAAGCTGGGCCGTTTTTACCAAGTCTACTACGTCTCCGATACCCTCTGACGTATCGTACAAAAAAGACTTTATCCATCTCCGGTGTCAAGAGATATCCCTTTACTTAGGCGACATCTCCCCCCCACGACACTGCGAAATATCCCTCGGACATTTCCAATCCTCTCCGCACCAACGCTCCCACCAAACCCGCATCTCTAACCAACACCCACGCCGTTCGGCTCTTCTACATACTCCCCGCATCGCGCATCGATCATACTCGACGCGCGAAGCCGTCTCAACACCGCAATCATGGGTTCGTGCTACCCTGCTCGCCGTCGCAAGCTGTTGCAACGTCTCCCGCCCGTACCAAGACTAACCGTGTCATCATAGCGCCCAAGAAGAAGGAGCAGGTCAAGATGGCCCTTGGCGACTTCCTGCAGGACTCCAGTCAGTCGCACCCCCTCCGACGATCCTCTTTACAGACGCTGCCTCGACAACTGCTACCGCCGACTTCATTTCTTGCTCGACTATCGAGTTAGTATATCATCGACTGACACTTTATATAGGCTACGGCGGATCATGGGCTGATGAGGTCGAGGATACGTACAGTGAGTTATATCGCCTAAAACATACCACTTTGGAAGCAAATGCTAACGCCCTACAGCCGGTATGCGACATTTCCACGAGCCGGTCTAGCGCCGCACAAGTTTTGTTCCTTACCCACTGACACCATCTTTATAGGCACTCAGGCTCTCCCCGCCCCCGAGCGCGCTGGCTACCGTCCCAGCCAAGGTGGCTGGGGTAGCGGCGGCGGCGACCGCGGTGACCGTTCCGAGCGCAGTGAGTCCATCTCGGAAAGGTAGAAATGGACACATCTAACCAGTGTGTAGGAGACTATGGCGGCTACTCTTCCATCCGCGAGAACCTTCCCCAGCAGCTCCCCGAGAGACCCCCCTACACCGCCCACCTTGGCAACCTGTCCTACGATGCCACCGAGGAGACCGTCAACGAGTTCTTCGAGGGCTGCAACATCATCAGCGTCCGCATCATCGAGGACCGCGAGCAGCAGCGCCCCAAGGGCTTCGCCTACGCCGAGTTCCAGGATCTTGAGGGACTGAAGCAGGCTTTGACTCTGGATGGCCAGACTTTCCAGGGACGTGCTATTAGAATCAAGGTTGCCGATCCTCGTAAGTACATGCCCCGAGGTTGACCCAAGGTTGAAAGCTGACACTTTCAAAGCCCGTGGTGGTAACCGTGACGGCGAATCCAACCGCGACTTCAGTGACTGGTCCCGCAAGGGTCCCCTGCCCGACTTGCCTGGACGTGGTGGAAACGATCGTCGCCCCTCCGACTTTGGCGAGCGCCGTGGCCCCCGTGAGCCTCGCGAGCCCCGTGAGGACGACGGAAAGGTCCGCGACTTTGGCAACTGGGAGCGCAGAGGCCCCCTTTCCCCCGTTGCTCCCAAGGAGGGCTCTGGCTCCCGCGATGGCAGCCGTCCCCGTACCAACGATGGACCCCGCGAGTTCCGCGACCGCCGCCAGTCCCCTGCTGCCTGGGGTGAGGGCCAGGGACCCCGCCAGGACTCCCGTCCTCCCCGCCCCGAGAGAGTCCCCACCGCCGCCGAGACCGACAGCCAGTGGAGAACCAAGATGCGCCCTGATGCTGCCCAGTCCCGCGACGGCAGCGAGGCGCCTTCTTCCCCTTCAGCCGCCCCCGCCGCTCCCGTCGGCCGCCCCAGGTTGAACTTGGCGAAGCGCACCGTTTCCGAGGCTCCCGACGTTACGTCTCCCTCCGGAACTGACTCCAAGGCCAGCCCCTTCGGTGCTGCCCGTCCCATCGACACTGCTGCAAAGGAGCGTCTGATTGAGGAGAAGAAGGAGCAACACGCCAAGGAGAAGCGCGAGGCCGACGAGAAGGCCAAGGAGGAGCGTCGCCTTGCCAAGGAGGCCGCTCTCAAGGAGGCCGAGGAGAAGGCTGAGCAAGAGGCTGCTGCCAAGGAGAAGGCCGAGAAGGAGGCTGCTGAGGCTCCCAAGGAGGAGGTCGCCCAGGAGGATGCCGCCGATAAGGAGAACGGCACATCTGAGGAGAAGATTCCCGTCAGAGCCAAGGAGCCAAGAGAGCCTAAGGAGGCTGCCCCCAAGTCTCGTGCTGCTGAGGCTAACAGCTGGAGATCATCTGGTGCCTCCCGTGGTGCCCCGACTGGACCTCGCGGTGGACGTGGTGGACCTCGTGGTGGTGGCCGATTTGAGGGAGGCCGCTCCCCTCGCTCCAACGGCCCTGCTGAGAAGCAGTCCCCGGCTGCTGCCGGCAGTGAGTCTGGCGATGCTGCCCCTGTGGAGGACGATGGTTGGACCACGGTCCCCAACAAGGGCCGTCGCAATGTTGGACCCCGTGGCACTGCCTAGGAGGTGGGCGTGCATAGTCCATTCATCCTTCAGCGTCCAGTCGGACCCAGTGCGGTCAAGGCCGCAGTCGAGTCGGCAATTATCGCCGAGAAGATGCTCCCACGTGTTTGCTTGCGGGGCCTAGATGACATTTCTCGTCATCACATATACCCAGACGACTCCGAATACGATTCTGACGAACGACTTTACGCCACGAACCGCTTACTTGGGGCTTGAAGGGCATGAATTCTCTATTCCGATACTTTGCTTTTCGACAGACGACAAAAACTGGCTCACTACGGATCTGCTGAAGGAAACAAAAAACACTTTCCTTTTTTTACTCAGCACCCTCTGCGGTCTCTGGCTCAGGTGGCTTGCCATCCTTTGGGCAAGATAGGTCTCCTCGACTCAACGACTGGAGAAGGCGCGCACTTTCGCACGCATTCATCGGAGTTTGCGAAGTGGTTACTAAAAAGAAAAGGGCTCATGGATGTTGGAAGAAAAGGGGGCTCATGACCATGTTGTTGTTTTTTTGCCTCGCTCAACTTTTTCCTTTGTCTCCTCTCCCCTCTGCTGTACCTCGAGACCCTTCTTTGCCCAAGGGGTTCTCGGGGGCTCCAGCGAAGTAACAGACCTACCTTACCTACCATACCGATCCGCCAGGATTCACACTCAGCTCTTAGTTGCAAACAAGGAGCTTCAAAAGGAATCCAAACACAAAAGTCTCAACCAAAGTTCTACTTGGCTCTTTTCCTCCTCTTTCTCCGTCCCTTTTTTTTTTTTTTTTGCGTGCAACGATAGATGATCTGCCCCTCAGTTATGAAAATTCTCCCGGCTGTTCATGATTATTCACGCTCGTAAGCCCTTTTTTGAGATGGCAAGTCCTAGTCTTCCTCGTCTTTTTTCTCCAGTTTCCCTCTATTTCACCCTTCTACCACGGCCCCTTCGATACCAGAATGATGGTGGCGAGCTGAGCTCATTTGAGTTCTTTTCTTCCTTGTGCTACCGAGGGGTGGTTTTAAAATGGATTGTGTTTTTTTGACTGTGGTTGAAGGCTGATTGTCGAAGGGGGGATGATGGGAAAGGTGTGAGTGAGCCTGGCGCTGCGCGTGGAGGTGCAAAATATATGATATGCAAGGGCATGAAATACAAAAGTATAAAAACTTTGCTGCTTTCTCGAGTCTTTACTGTGGCAGTGTGGTGTGATGGTTATGATATTGTTACTGCTTTGTGGGCGAGTTGAAGCCTTGGATAAGATATGTGAAGGAGCAATACATGTGGGTGGGTTCATCAGATATCACAAAAGGTACAGTTGAGTGAATTGAGTATTCTTCATGAAACCACACGCTTCTACCTCTACCAAACCCCCATCTTGGTCAACAATCATATTCCCAAAGCCCCACGACAAACACTACCTCTTGAGAGTCTTCTGCTTCTCCGCATCCCTAGCAACATTCCTCCCCTCAACCAACAACCCCTTCTTCCGCCTCACACCATCCATATACCGTTTCGCCACATTCTCCTTATCCGCCAACTCGCCCAAATCCTCCAGATCATCCTCGGTAAACGGCACCCAGAACGGATCCTGGTCAAGAACCTCGTACCCCGCAAAAATAAGCTGCGGCTGCGCCGCGCCCGAAGTCCGTTTCCGCATCTCGTCCGCGAAGCCAAAGGACTCTGCCACGGGGAGAACAGAGTTGATGCTGAAGAATGGCGTGCCTTCCTTCATGGCCTCGGAGAGGACGCGCCCGCGACGGCGGGTGAGCACGTCGTAGACGCGGCCTAGGACCTCTGTCGAGGCTTGGATTTCGACCGTGTACATTGCCAGCATGAGGCGCGGGGACCAGTCGAGCATGCCCGAGCGGAGGGTGGCGGTGAAGGTTTTGATGATTTCGCCTGTGAGGCGGGGGAGGCGGTCGCGGGCGGAGGCGTCGTCGTCGGTGGGGTTGATGACGACGTCTTCGAGGAAGACGGCGATGCCGCGGACGGGTTCGCGGCAGAGGGGTCCTTGGGCTGTGGCGAGCTGGAAGGCGTAGGGGATTTTGTCGGCTACGTGGGAGGGGTGGAGGGCTTCGTCTGCTTGGGGTGCTGCTGCTGAGCCGTCGCGTTCGGTGGACGTTTGGGAGAAGAGCTTTGCGAGGAGGCCTTCTTTTGTGGCGTCGACGAGGATGTTGGGGCCGGTGCGGCGGGGGCCGAAGGCGGCGATGCGGTCGATTGCGGATTTGAAGTGTTCGCGGCCGGTGCGGGAGGATTCGAGGGCGGATTGGAGGCCTGTTTTGAAGTCGTCTAGGGACATTGTCTTTGCGGCTGTTAGGTCTGTGTCGACGTCGTCTGCGGCTTCGCCAGGGACAGCGGCGGAGTCTGTGCCTTCGGTGCCTTGAGTTCCTTCGGTTGTCTCGCCTTCGGTTGTTGTGGAGTTGGCGGCGGCTGTGCGATCCGAGTACATACGTTTGATGACGTCTCCGTTCTTGAGGAGGAACTCCGTGGCGTCGGACGGCAGAGGCCGGACCTGGAGGCGGATGGAGACCTGCTTGGAGGAGGTGGTGCCGACGACGACGCCACGGCCGAGGTCCTTGTTCGCGGGGGGCCGCATCTCCTCGGCGCGGACAATGGTCTCGCGGTAGGGCACGATGGGGGCGCCGGCCTGGATGTCACAGCGGGCGAAACGCTCCTTGAGATCGGTGAGGCAGCGCTCGAGGTGCAGTTCGCCGGCGGTGAGGAGGACGTGCTCGCCGCTGCTGAACTGCTCGTACTCTGCGCAGGGATCGGACTGGACGAGGAGGCGGAGGCCGTGGATCATCTTATCAAGGTCGGCCGGGTTAACGGGCTCGAGGGCGACGCGGACGATGGGTTTGCCGAGCGTACCTGCCACGCCGGCGAGGTTGACGGCGCCGTCGAGTCGGCTGCAGAGAGTGCCGTTCTTGAGGAGGTGGCCTTCGAGACCGCCGATACCGAAGACGACGCCTGCGGGGACGGAGTCGAGCGACTCGAGGTTGCGGCCCATGAGCATGTAGAGCGCCGTGACGGTGACTTGTTTCGGTGAGGGCTGGGCGTTGGGGTTGGCGGGAGACCACTTGGGCGGGATAACCCAGAGGCTGTCGCCGACGGAAAGGGTGCCCGAGTACATGCGCGCGAAGCCGATGAGGTGCTCGGGGTCGACCTCTTTCTCTTCGTGCTCCGGGGCGTAGCCGTCCAGGTTGACCTCCTCGAGCGCTGTCGTGAGGTCGTTGATTGCGTTTCCGCTCGAGGGGGCGGCGGCTTGGGCGCGGGCCGCTTCCGCTCTCTTCTTTCGGGCGAGTTCCCTCGCCTCGTCGGCGGTCAACTGGCCCGGCTTGCGCTTGTTGTGAGGGAGTTCGCTCTCGGGGACGGAAACCATTTTGCTGACGTAGGCTACGACGGGATCTGAAGGGCCGGTCTTGAAGGAGATCATGGCGTTCTTGATCTCTTCATTGATGGCGTCTGAGCCGGGGACGTCTTCCAGCATCTCGGGCAGTCTCTCGGCTTGCGCGACTGGGGGTGATGGTAGGGACTCGATGACGGAGACGAGCATGGCTGTCGACAGCGGGAGCCAGGACGCAAAAACTGTAGTTAGGAGCAGCCGAGGGTCTCGGGAGCGCATGATGTGAGGAGGGATAGTCAGTCCGAGGGACTTCGTAATCTTCTCCAGCAGCGCGGGGTCGCCCCTGTTGTTGTCGCCGCCGACGGTGGCCTGGTAGACGGTCCAGATAGGCTCCAAAACCAGCTGCACAAACATGGGCTTCAGGTTTCTTCCCTTGAGATGCTTCTGGCCCAGGATCTTCTTGGTCTTGGGGTCAAGGTAGAAGCTGCCCCATAGCACCTTCTCCATGACATCTCTCTTGATGCCGAGCTTCTTCTGATACAGACCGGCGAATTGGCGCACGGTAAACGCCCAACCGTCAATGGCGCTGCTGAAAATGACATTGTTCTTCTCGGGCGCAAAGTAGAGATCTTCATCATCGCGCTCCTCAAACTGAAGCTCTCCCGACTCAGTCATGGAATCCAGACCAACCTCCTTGGCAGCCGCCGCCTGGACGCGCTCCTCCATCCGCTCGCGCCAGTTGAGATCCTCTTCCATACGCTCGCCCTGGAAGAAACTTCCCAGCACGGCGTTGACCTGCTCGAGAATCTTGCTGAGATGAGTATAGGCCTCAGCAGGCGTCATCTTGAGTTCGGTAATGAGGCGGTCAATCTTGTTGATGACAAGCAAGGGCTTGAGCTTCTCGGTCCACGTCTGGCGTAGGACGGTGACGGTCTGACTGCACACGCCCTCGACGGCGTCAACGAGCACGACGGCACCGTCGCACAGGCGCGAGGCGGTGGAGACCTCGCTGCTAAAGTCAATGTGGCCAGGCGAGTCGATGAGGTTGATGAGGTACTCCTTGGCTTCAGGCTCGGCGTCGGGTGCGGATCTCCTGAGCATGGAGAAGTAGAGGGAGATGGCGGAAGATTCCATGGTGATGCCTCGGAGCTGTTCGTCGGGCCTGGAGTCGAGGTACCGGATCTTGCCGGCGAGTTTGGGTGAGATGATGCCGTTTGTTGCCAGGAGGGCGTCTGTCAGGGATGTTTTGCCATGGTCGACGTGAGCCAGGATGCAGATCTGGGAGGGGTCAGTTACTGAGATTATGGAATGCTTGTGAGGTGAGGCTGGAACTTACATTGCGCACATCCACGGCATGCCTTTGCAGGCTAGCCAGCTTGTCGGGGGTTACAACAGGCATGATGGGCGGATGTGTGGTGGAGGAAGGGTGGTAAGAGAGGGGTTCAAGGGGGTATCAAAAGATATATGGACAGAAAGCAATGCCGGATGAAAGAAACAGAGTGAATGAGAAAGCAGGTCTGGAAGTCTTTGTGATGTCTCCCCCCTTGGTTGGTATATAAGAGGCAGCCTCTGCGAATGTTTCGTCGTTTGCCCGAGGCAGATGATGTCGTTATTGACCAGGGGTCTTTGGCAGAAGTAGTGAGTGCCTGAGTGAGTTGATGATGATGATTCGGCAACTAAATGGCCCTGGTCTGTGACTAATAGGCCGACCCGAAATGGGCATTTAGGTTGGAAGCAGAACAAAAAGATGGCTCTGATTCGCCACCCTGCTGTTAAAAAGTTTTGCACGGACGAGAGGAGTGACTCTGACTCTCTTGTCGGTCGCTTGTGTCTGCAGCTTTTATCGAGCCTGAGTGGTTGGGAAGTTGATGTTATCCCATAGAAGATGAGGTGGATGCATCGAGCAACTGGTGCAGTGATGAGTAATGTTGTATAGCGTATGTGTCTATGCAGCTTTTTCTTTCTTTCTCTCGTCCCTTGCGGGAAGGAGGGGGGGGATCCAGTGATTCAATCGACGTTTCCAGGAAGGCACTGGCACAAGGAACGTTGGAATTACCTCAGCGGACTAACCCCGCCAAAAAAAAAAAACCTCCATTCAACCCCTCCAACGACTCAAAGACTGAAAGAAAAGCCACCATAACCCCTCTAATACCGTATAGTCGCATTTACCCCGTTACCTACGACCCAAGGCTGTCCATCCCCACACATCGCTCTACCGAGGGTGCAACAAACCCTAACTCGCCAAAAATTCACTGGCCCCTCTCTCTCTCCCAAACCCAAACGGTGCCTGCGATAACCTCAGCAAAAAGCCCCCGCGGGATTAGCCAGCGAAAACCAGAGGAAATTTTCGACTCGTCCGCCCGAAAACCCCACTCTGTCGAGCGAACCCCCTCCGAACCCGACCGCCCATCTGTCCTCCCCCAAACCACCCACGGGAAAGTTGAAGACATCGCCAACTTTTCGCGCCCTTCCTCTTTCGGACCCCTTCTCCCTCAAATTTTTTTTCCTTCCAATTTCTATTCCTATCACATCTTGTGTGTGGGAATAGTCTTTCACCGAGAAGAATCCACCATCCACCATGAGCGGCTACCAAAACGGAGAGCGGCCCGTCCGCGTCGACGACGACAGCGACGTCGAGGAGGAGGCCCTCGTCAACGACTACAAGGAGCAGGTCCAGTATGAGGACAACATTGGCGAGGACCTCGAGCAGGTCAACTCCCTGACCATGGCCCAGCAGACGGACGACATCCAGTCGCGCCTCGCCGCCGCCGCCCAACCCCTCGACTTCTCCGCGCCCCTCGAAGTCAAGTTCCAGAGCTACGACTCCTACTGCAGCCTGTTCCACTTCATCCTCAACAGCGAGGGTCCTGTCGACCTCGAGCCCCCTTCGGTAAGCTTCCTTCCCCAGTCTTCTTTGCTTCTACTTCCACTTGGATCAGTGACAATCTTCTCCAAATGTCCCTTGGCTGTTGCAAAGGTATCATCATGCGTAGACTAGGACCAAGCTAACATGTCTTCAAACAGTACTACTGGGCCTGGGACGTCATCGACGAGTTCATCTACCAATTCAACTCCTTCTCGTCCTACCGCATGCGCATCGCCCGCCAGGGCAACAACGAGGAGGAAATGCAGGTCCTCAAGGAGAACCCAAACACCTGGGGCTGCTACTCGGTCCTCAACGTCCTCTACTCCCTCATCCAGCGCTCCCAAATCACCGAGCAGCTGGCCGCCATGCGCCGCAACGAAGACCCCATGGCCGTCGCGGGCGAGTACGGCTCCAAGAACCTCTACCGCATGCTGGGCTACTTCTCCATCATCGGTCTCCTCCGCGTCCACTGCCTCCTCGGCGACTTCAGCCTCGCCCTCAAGACCCTCGACGACATTGAGCTCAACAAGAAGGCCATGTTCGCCCGCGTCATGGCCGCCCACTTCACCACCTACTACTACGTCGGCTTCTCCTACATGATGATGCACCGCTACGCCGACGCCATCAAGATGTTCTCCCACATCCTCGTCTACGTCTCCCGCACAAAGAACTTCCAAAAGAACGCCCAGTACGACTCCATCACCAAGAAGAACGACCAAATGTACGCCCTCATCGCCATCTGCGTCGCCTTCCACCCCACCCGCCTCGACGACACCATCCACTCCGCCCTCCGCGAGAAGTACGGCGACCAGCTCCTCAAGCTCCAGCGCGGCGGCCCCGAGTCCCTCCCCATCTTTGAGGAGCTCTTCCGCTCCGCCTGCCCCAAGTTCATCTCCCCCGTGCCCCCAGACTTTGAGAACCCCGAGTCCAACATCGACCCCGTCGAGCACCACCTTGCCGTCTTCATGGAGGAGGTCAAGATCAACATGATGAGCCCCACTGTCAAGTCCTACCTCCGCCTCTACACCACCATGGACCTCAACAAGCTGGCCGGCTTCCTCGAGGTCAAGCCCGACGAGCTCCGCTCCTGGCTCCTCGTCAACAAGCAGCGCACCAAGCAGCTGCGCTGGACCGACCATCCCAGCCTGTTGGACGGTGACCTCATCAACGTCAGCGACCTGGACTACGCTATGCAGGGTGTAAGTAACTTTGACAGAAACTGCAGCCTTTGTTTTTCCGCTGCGCATGTTCGTAACAGTATGCTAATCATCACCTTCTAGGACCTGATCCACATCTCGGAAGCCAAAGTCGGCCGCAAGCTGGTCGACTGGTACCTCCGCAACCTGTCCCGCACGTACGCTTGAGCGATCGTAAAGGATACACTTCGGGCCCTATAAAAACCAGCAAAGGCAAGGTGGACGAAATAGCTGGCCGAGGAAAAAATAAAGACTGGGAAAGGTTGGTAGCAAAATACCAAGGGGGGGTGTTTTATGTGTATGTTGGCAAAAAAAAAGGCAATATGCGTATGTCGTGTAGTTACCAGGAAAAACCTGCCAGCGAGAGGTGGTTGGAAACTCCCCCCCTCATCCACTTGACGTTACCTGTGGATTCGAGGCCGGGAGGGTGTGACGAAGGGTTGAGAAAGACAAAAAAGGCAGAGATGAGAAGTGGCCAAAAAGCCACTTGGGAAGAAATGGGAGGGCCCGGTAGAGGGATACTCGCATTGTTACGGCGTTCAGGCGTCTCTGCTTCCTGGAACACTGGACCTGGTTGGCTGGGCGGGATGAAGTGAACCAAGGGGAATAATTAGAATTCAAAGTACAACGTCCATCCGAACCTCTACGAGGCCAGAGTACTTGCGACAGTAATGTGCGTTTTGACGGATCTCTCAGGATGAGTCCAATGTCGGTAGTAGTTGGTCAATAAGTATGGTCAAATAACCGTCGCGCATAAGGGAGCCAGACTCAGGTAGCCAGAGAGTGATGAGATTTGAGCCACTCGCTTATCATCCCGTTGTCGACGACAGATTTTCCTAGCAAAATCAAATGCCAACGCGAATTGTTCAGTACCTTATGTGCGATATTTTCTTGACCAGCATCAAAATACTTCGCAGATGCAAATTTGATGATCGTCATTATTTTCTGTCTCTCCCGCGATACGCCTGTACTCCGTACTGATCTTCCCGCTTCCCCGCCAGACTTGTGGGATTGAAACCTGGTAGGAGGCCGGGCAAGGAGCATGCCAAGGGCAGGTTGTCCGGGGAAGGTTACAACGTTGCCTGCACACGACTGGTCGGCGGAGACCACTATCGAGACAACCTCTTTGCCGGGGTGGAGTGGAATTTTCGAAACACGATTGTAGCAGCAGGGCATCTCCTGCTTTGAGGTAATCTGCCACTCCTTTGCAAGGCCGTTGAACGCAAGCGTCAGTAATAAGACTGCGCGGCGGCAATCAATGGAGGGCAGGTATGTTTCACGGCGCGAATCGGTCGGAATTGAGGAATAAATGTTCAAACGGAAAGGAGCGATCAATACCCTTCCCCTCGCGAAAGAGAGATGCCGCAACGATGATGCTCAGATGTGATATAAGCACTCTGAGCGGAGCCCGCCGGGGAGGATAGTCCAATCTGGGTAGTGCCTCCGCACCGACGCCGCGTCGGCAGACCGGGGAAATTATCGGTCGGGACGGGGACGGGATGGTCCGCGAAGAAACTGGAGCTTGATTCCGATTCTCCTAGCGGCTGGTAGTCAAGCATGTGCCACCTACTACGGAGTAGAGGCTAGACGTTTAATGTTGGACGGTGTCTCACGTTATTTCTCCCTAGCTGCCCTAAAGAAGTGCTCTTGTGTCTTGGCTGTGTCCTCTGCGAGTCAGATTTCGCCCTGTGTGCGTGCTTGTGCGGGTGTGTGTGTGTGATGCTGGCTGTACTAGGGTTGCCAAGAATTGTTGGGGTCGTACGGGTGGGAGTTCAGAGGAGCGAGTAGAATCACGAGTCGTGCTTGACGTCGTCTTTTTTGGACCGTCTTGCAGCAGCCTCCGAACCAGTGACTGGGATACTGGGGCAAACGGGCACGAGAATATGAAAGATGAACGTTTGGAGCTCGGTTATTGCAGGCCGATCGGCATGCATGTCGGTCAGGACGCAGCATTACGTTTGAACTTACGCAAGCAATCGTGGAATTCTGCGTGGGTTTCCGCGATGAGGTTGCCAAAGTGTACACTCGATGGGCTTGGCCGGCATGAGGCGCTCTTCCTGGTTGGTATCGGTTGAACGTCAGATAGGGATGCTGCACAAAGCAAGCAGGAAGCCGCGCTGGACAAGATGGTTGATTGCGGCATGCATGCCGCCGCAAGACATTGGCATTTGCCGCAGGCAAGCGATCCTGTCAGACCTGACAATGCACCCAATGTAGGCCATTATCGACATACGATAATGCAGGATATCGGAACGCATCGACAATTCAGGATGTCGAGTTGCCTCTGGCGAGCTCTTGGAAACCCGTCTTTTGTCGGAATTTCCGGTTGCTTCCTCCGTTGATCAACGGCGACAGCAGCGGGAGTATGCCAAGATTTCGACCTCACCAAACGCCCCTTTACCAGATGGTCGATGGTCTCCGTGCCGTGCAACATCGGCAAGTTGATATTTGATAGATAGCGAGCATACGCCTTGCCCTGCCTACCTCGTGGCTCGAAGTAGTGATTTGGCTGGTCCATCAGCTCGCTCACAGATATGGAACCTTGCTCCTCTGCTTCGGTGAGACTGCAGGATGCATATGGCGATTCCTGTTTTAGCGGGGACCGTGTCGGTGAAGACTGAGGAGTGGTACGTGAACAAGGGCGGAGAGGTTATCCAAGGCAAGCCGCAAAAGCAACACCGGAAGATCGGGACGGAATTCTGGGCGGGATAATGGGCTGCGAATGGCATCATTGCAGCCTGCGATGGGTGCCGAATGGCGTGGAAAGGCAAAAGAGTGGACGTTGTCTTCGTTTCGCCTTGGCATGGGCTCCCTCTTTTCCCGACCGCTTGTGCCTGCCGGCTTGGTGTCTTGGGAGCGCATCCCCTTTTTGTTCTCTATTTCCCTTCCAAGGGCTGCGTCGTTGTCTCGTCTGCAGCGTGCAGCGTGGTCTAACCGACCCCTCAAATTGTACCCCTGCGACCAAGACGGCTTCCTGCGACATTGATGGGTCCTGGCCAAGAGATTTGAGCGCCGAAAGAGAGGTTGCGGGAATGAGCCGCTGTCCCCATTTTCGATACGGGACCGAGCCAGGCGTCGGACTGATAATTTGGGTATCTAGGAAACGCAACGAAGACGAAAGGGTTGCGGAAGAAAGGCAAAGAGATACGGTTGGCTTAGCTCTCGCTTGGCGTACTGGTTGGGCACAAAGTGTGGATTGAATGGGTCGAATTGTTGTAAAGTCGCGGACCGGGGCCCAGAGACGAAGCATGTCATCTCATTAACGAGAAGAAATGAGAAGAAGCAAGGTTCGGAGGCGACTTAGCAGCCTAGGGCGGCGCGCGCACACCGACTCGAATGCTCGTTCTCATTCTCTTCTTTCCCTCTTCCTGGGGATCGGTGGAAGAATCAAGATTGGCCAACGTGCTTTAGTGGTTTGCCAAGAACTTGTTGGAGGTGGACGAGTGGCCGAGAGGCGCGGGAGAGAGGGGTGAAGTTGCAAAGAGTCGAGTGAAGGCGGCGACGACTACATCCTTAGCACACGGAGGGCCGGCTGGGCAGACGTGAGAGTGCATCGACAGCGATGAAGGAAGCGCATGATTCTTGGTCCCGTTGCTTGGTGCGAACCAACCCACATTCGCCTGGGTATCTGCAATCCGAACGGGTCGAATGGTATTACTGGCGCTGGTAGAGGATTGATGAGGCATCCTTGGGAAAACCCGCCAGATGCGTTAGCCAGCTTGGCGCATTACCTCTAGCCATCGCCTGGCGCCATCCATGCTGGGGGGATTTCTGGACTTTTGGAGGATTGTGACTGATGAGATGGGAAAAACGGAACCGTGGTATGATACCTGACGGAGGCGATGATGGACTATGTGTACGGAGTACAGCCGTAGACAGTAAACTTCGTTTCCGAATTATTGCTTTATGAACCCTAGGCCAGGTACCGCAGGGGATCGAGGCGTGTGTAGTGCTGGCGGAGTAAGACGTCTGACATTCTGTCCGACTACAACACGCCAGAATGTCTGGGTAGGACTATCGTGGTGCTTAGAAAGGCCATACGGAGATGCTGCCACCATGCCATGTTACTGCAGGTCATGACAGCGACGGACAGACAGACGGCGAGCGAGCGAGCAATGATGTGACCAGAGAGGGCAAGTAGCGGCGGCCATTTCGTCTGTTCAAGATGGGACAGAGACGAGTCATCCAGAGTCTGTCGAGTTTGTGCTGGCCGGTGTTGAACGGGAGCCTCTGGTGGATAGGGACTACTGTACAGAGTAAGCCGTAGTGACATGCCTTGGGTGCTTGGGAACCTAAGAGTCAAGACGGCCAGCAAGGATGGGCGTTACGGCGGGTGCTTGGAACCGGAGACCCGAGAAGCTTGGAAGCGAAGCTGGATGTCTTGATGTGTAATTAGAGCCAGCTTAGGCATTAGAGGCGCCGTAGAGCGAAGAGCGTGATTGGGCTCGGTACTTGGGGTGGTCTTGGCGAGTTTGGGGTGGTGTTCCCAGGGTTATTTTGGGTCCTGGTGGTGCTCGTGGTGCTGATGCTGGTGCAGGTGCTGGAAGACGGAGTGATAGGAAGTCTCGGAGGCCGCGGTCTTGAAGTTGTCGTATTCCGTCCAAGGCATCCGTAGCCTGTCATGGGGATGTGAATCTCGCTCCCGCCGCTGTATGATTACGAAGCGGTAGGTGTTGAAGAAGAGTACTCCGAACTACCGTAGAGGGACTCCAATATTCCATTACTAAGGAAAGGCAAGGCATGCAAATGAAGGAAAGTGCATGCACTTTGGCACTTTGGCACTTTCCTAATCTCAGCCTGGGGAACCTGGCAATTGGAAGGAACAAGAGGCAGCGGGGGCTCTTTCCAAGATGGATGGAAGCTGCAACCCATCGAGTCGACATCAGGTGCGGCAACTTGGCAAGTGCAGCAGGTGCAGCTGGTGCCTGTGGATGACCCTAGCTCTTGCCCTCTCCTTTTCCGAGGAAGGTTCAGCTGAGTGAGATGGGCACCTTCTTTCCCATTCATCTCAAGTACCTTCCTGCCTTACATAGGTATTCCGTACCTACGTACTTATCTCAAGTACATCTATCGGCTCTTTCTCTTTTCCGTGATCAGATCAGAATCCATGTCTCCCGCCGCGAGTTGATGTAATAAGGTACGTATCGAAGCGCTCAGGCAGGCAGAAATAATAAAGGTCCAAAGGAAGGAATAAATTGACCGTGGCTGCCAGAGTGGGAGGGGTACATAACCCACCGGCAAATCTCGGTGCACACACAAGTCTCACCTGAGTTCTGGGCCTGGACACTCCCGGCCAGGGAATAGCCATCCGCCAACGGCATCAAACAAACTCCAAGTCTTCAGCCATCTCATTCCTGCCGTCTGCTTGCACTTGCACCGCATTGCACCAGCTTCCCGAGGCCCTCCCCTCCTCCACCCTTCACGTTCCGTCCTGAATCCTCACTTCCAGCTGTGGGTGGGTGTGCGAGACTGAGATTCGACTCGAAGTATCCTCCGCCTGTGCGCGTTGCGTGGTCCACCGTCCACCATCTCTCAACCGCGAAAGAGACCCCCCAGCCGAGACGACCCTGGCCGACCAGGGTATCAACCATCGCCAACCCCTGTTTTTGGTGCCCATTGCTGCTCTTCTCCCTCCAAAAGTCTTGCTGGAGCTGTGCGTCACGCCGTCACCCTCTCGAGAATTTGCATAAGCTCAAGAGCAAGCTGGGCTGCCCAAGGAAGAGAGGAGCACGGAAGAACAGAGCAAACACAACAAGCGGAGGCTCTCGCATCCAGGCCGTACGTACTTAGACCAGTCCAGTCCTCCGCAACCTCGAGCCTCTCTCTACCTTACTCTCCGAGTTTCTGTTACGAATACCTCCAGAGTACCGATACCGTCTGTTTGTTCGTCGCAACCGACGCATGCCCAGACTTTTCCAACCCCATTCCTGAGCTTCTTTTCCAGCTGCATTGTCTCATTCTCTGCCCATTCCACGCCAGTCTCAGTCTCACGGATATACTTTGTCCACCCCCGCATCCAGCCGCCTGGACTGCAACGGGTCTTCCAACTTCTCACGGATACCTTACCGTTAGGTACACTCGATTCACATCAAGCCCGTCGTCGTGTCCAGAGAGTCAGAGACCGAGATAAAGTCCTTCCTCGGCGTTCGCTAGACTTCTGCCACCACCCGCAAGCCAAGGTCTCAGCTCTGTCGCCCCGGCCCTTCTCCCGCCCCAGTTCCCACACACCTGAGCAGCACCAGCAACAGCTGTCATCTCGGTCGACTAACAACATCACCTGCTCACCGACCCGGTCTGTCATCACTTAGACTCTTGACCCTCGACCCTCGACTCGTACCGCCGCGCTACCGTCTACACTACGCCACACCCCGTTCTTCGGCTTCCCATCCAACAACAACACCATCCTCGCGCTTTCCTGTGCCTTGTGAGGCCCCGCAAGTCTTGGCGGAACCGCCTCCTACGCTGTGCCCCTCGCCATAAGAGAGAGCTCCATCTCTTCAAAGACCACGGCTTGCGCCTGCCAACATCACCCCCTTGGCATTGCTAGACATACCTGTTCTCTTGTCGAAATAGCCTTTCCGCCAACCCCCCTTCTGCTTTCAGAAACGACCGACGAAGAAACATATTACCTTCATACTCGACTAAGCATCAAACGCACCGAGAGCCGAATCCTATCGTGCACAGGAGCTCCTCCGATTTCCATCCACAAGGTTTTGCCCTCACCTTCGCATCTCACCTTCTACGCCTACATACCTTTCCACGTATATCCGACGACGAGACGCTCTGACCTGACAGTCGCCGTTCGACCTCCACGTTCCAACTATCAGTCAACAGACGCCCCTTGCCATTTTCAGACGGTGTGGTCAGTCCACCATCAGCCACTCACCTCGGCGCAAATCACCTCTTGTCCTTGATCTTCTACACGTTGCTTTTTCGTCCCTTCCAAGACAGGCTCGTCGCACGACCCATTCGGGCCTTTGAGCGACTCTGTTCAACCCAGTGCATCTGCCTGATTCTTCACCCCGCCGGGACGACTGCTTTGCCGCTGCGCTCATGCTGACATTGATTCCACAGCAGCTGTACAGCCTTCAATGAAATCATCAGAAAATTGGCGTAGCGTATTCTTGCTTCCGCAGAGCACCAAGAAGAAAAAGAAGAACAGCAAGGTTAGCACCTCACCATCGTCACCGAAAATTTCCTTCCCAGATCTTCAGTGGGAGCCCAAGACGACGACGACGACGACGGCAGCGGCGGCAGAACGTCGGCACACCATGTCTGGGCCAAGCCCACGTTCGATGCTTAACGTCCAGAGCCCCGATTCCGACGTCTCGCCCAAGTCTCCGATGCAGCCCTCTGACCAGACAAAAACGGACTACTTCTCCATCGAGTCTTCTTCGCAGGCGCAGTCGCAGAGGAAAGACGAGGAGACCAAGACCAACGATGCAGAGCCATTGAGCCGTGCGACCACACTTTCAAGCTTCGCAAGCCCTTCCCCCCTCGAAAGCGCAACAGGAAGCTTCTCTGCTGAGTCGTCACGGACCGAGTCGTATGGAGGAAGGCCGAGAGGATCATCGATAGCCTCGCTGAGCTTTGCACCGCTGCGGAACCCGTCGCTGCCGCAGGGCAACCAGAAGAAGACGAACAAGGAGCGTATCAGGGCTTCATCGCCACCACCCGAAAGGTAAGGGCACCATGTCCCGTTCTTAAGTTTTGGCGATTTCTTTGCCCCATCTTTGTGGCTCCTTTACCATGAAGCGTCTGCAAGTAGCAGTTTTGGTCATGTGGTCTTGTGGTTCGGTGTGTGTATGTGATATCGTGGAGTTGTAGCAACTGGGTCAAACCGGCGTAAGCACGTCAGTGGCAGATGCAACTGGATCAGATGCAGTGTGGCTGCGGGGCCACCTTACTTATATGCTGCCGTTGGTTTCGCCTTACATGCGTCGATTCTGCAGTCCTCCACTAGCCCGGAAGCCTCGGATCAAGAGGTCAATCCCACGGCCACCTTCTCCGCAGCCATGCCGCAGATCCGGTCGCTTTGCTCTCCCGTGGATTGACGATTCGCCGGCCGCAGCCGTCTTGGTACCCACTCGGCTTGTCAGCTTCCGTCTCAGAGACAGTCGGCGCCTAGGATACATAGGCATTGCCATCTCTACCGAGGAAGCCCTCTCCGGGCGCCGACTCCAGCGTCAAGATCGGGATGGCGGGGTCGGACCAGTCGGCCAGCGGCGGCCTCGTTTCTCATGGCAACTCAAGCAGACGTTTGTGTTTTACTCTGACTCCGTGTCACGTCTCGGCCCATACCTTCACGGGCCTTACTCATCGGGTTGCAATCTTCCATCAAGACATCACACGACATACCTCACTGGCCAGAGCGACCTTGCCGGTTACGGATGGCGCACTGGCAACTGTTATTCGCTAGGGTCGCTCGTCGCTGCCCCACTACCCCGCTACATACACCTGCCTCAGCGCCTGTGGCTCTTTCTTTACGGTGCATGCGCCAGGCAGGTGGTGCTCTTTGGGGTTCACAAAGAGAAGGAGAAATGGCGGAGGTGGGCGCTCATCGACTCATCCTTCACAGCCACCCTTAGCCTGGACCTCCTGGAGCAACCCAATCTAACCGTGACGTTTCCCCCGCAGAGGACCTGAGGGAAAGCAGCTGTCATTGTCGCATTTCCGCCCAGTCCTTTTTCCTGAATCCCGGCTGCCTCGTACCAAATCGCAACCTCTCGTCCCTTTTTCATTCCCACCCCTCTTGAATCTGACCAGGTGGTCTCGTAACATTTTCCACTCTCCATCCGCAAATCTGAAAGTTTTCTTTACCGCAAATTGTCTCATCCGCCCCTTTGCGCCTTTTTGTTTACCAATTGCTCGAAACGACGTTACCTAATGGCGACACTAACTCAACCCTCTGTGCCTGACAGGTTCCAGTCGCATGTCGCATTCGACAACCTTCCGCTGGGCGAGGCGACGAAGAACAACACGCTCTCGCTGACGTTGAATGTTCGTCATCGGGGGTATCAGGCGCAACGACGATCGCGCACGTTCATGGTCGGCGTCGACGAGCATGCCTACTCCGACTATGCGTTGCAGTGGCTGCTCGACGAGCTGGTCGACGACGGGGATGAGGTTGTTTGTGTGCGCGTCATTGAGAAGGAACTGCGAGCCGCCGAAACCAACAAGATATACCAGGAAGAGGCGAAGAAGGTCATGGATGGCATCCTTAAGCGCAACGGCCTGAACCGGGCCATCAGCATTGTACTGGAATACGCGAGTGGAAAGCTTCATGCGACATTCCAGCGCCTGGTGAGTAGAAGCGTGACGCGGCATCTCTTGGCGAGTTGGCAGTGGAATAGACGCTAACCACTATCATCTGCCAGATCCAAATTCACCAGCCTGCAATGCTCATCGTTGGCACGAGGGGCAGGTCGCTCGGCGGCCTCCAGGGCCTGGTTAACACGCGCAATTCCTTTTCGAAATATTGTTTGCAGTATTCGCCTGTTCCTGTCGTTGTCGTCCGCCCGACGGAGAAGCGGGAGAAGAAGAAGAATAAGAGAAAGAACGATACGGAACGACAGACGTATGTCAGGATGTTGTCAGCGACAGGCGGAAAGCACGAGGCCGACAGCGAGAGAAGCAGCATGTACGAGGTGGAGGTTCACAACACGGCGGACGAAGAGGCTCACCAGGTCGCCAAAGCGCTAGGATTGCCTGCGGCATTCGACCCGACTATCAAGCCAGTCGACCTGAATGCCCTTCTGCACCCGAGACACCAATCAGCGCCATCCAATCTCGCGCAAACGAGTAGCGCAGGTGCGGGTACGGATAGATCATCTGCACCGCCGAGTGCTGCGGGCGACAGCGATGAGGAGGATGACGATGATGAGGACGAATTTGAGACATTCTCTGGCGACCAGCTCATCAACTCGTCGCAAATGGATAAGCTGCACAAGATGGAGGCCAACGAGGCGGCTGCGCTTAAGCAAAGGAAGTCGAGTTTGGACTCTAGTGCCAGTGGAGTAGATGACGACGAAGACGAGGAGTCCAAGGCCTCGCGACACAGCAGCAACAGCTGATACAGCAGCCCCAGGATTTCGAATGGAGAGGCAGGTTTATGAGGTAGCATATGTGTGGGTTAGAAGGCGTTTGTTCGATAGCGTGGGCATGTTTAGTTTACTGGGACGACATATCCCGTAGTTGTGGTGTGGGAGTAGACGAAGGGAAGTCTAGGGACGTTTGTCCAGGTATGCGGCGTAGTTTGAAAACACCCCTCCTCTACATGGAGCCTGTGTATTGATACCCATAAAAGACTGCAATGATAAAATGGCCGAATTTCTGCTGCACTATAGCTTCTTCTGGTGATGGATGAAGAATGATCGTGGGCAAGATGGTGGGTAATTTTGGTATCAGCGCCTGTTGTCGAAGGAGCTGTTGAGTGAGTCTTTGCCTATTGTCCATTGGCCGCTCCGTCGCATCTTGCGGGGCTCTTGATGAAGGTGGGCGAGTTCCAGTGGAGAGTTCCAGACTTTGGCGGTTCCAAAGTGCCTAAGTACCTGGGTGCAAGGTGTGGCGCAAAGACATGTGGCTGAAGCTTAAAAAGTAGCCGGAGCTTACCTTCCTTTGGCACCCGAGGTAGGTAGGTAGGTACACAGCGAGGCCAGGTTGTAGTGTGGCTGAGGCCCAAAGTCCGACACAAAGGTTACGAATCCAACGTCGCCCTTCTTTTCTCGTCACAGCCGTCGCACTGTAACGGTTGTCCGAAGCCAACCAACGCATACCAAACAATGTCGGAGACAGCCTTGCTGATTCCTCGCTAAAGGACACCGGACCTTTCTTTTATTTCGTTTTTGCAACAACTGCCTTCAATCCTGCTCAACAATTGAGAAACCGTAGGATGAATCTTGCTTTACTCGACTACGACGTATACACATCGCACATGCCCCATTGCTCGCGCGCAAACGAAGACGCCGCCCCCCCACCATCGACACGGTCAAGCAGCAGCAGCAGCAGCCGCCCAAGATGCCTTGGTTCTGGTCCAGCTGCGACGAGTCCGCTTGCGCCGCCATAAACCCCAACGCCCCATCGACCGTCGGCCTCCTCTTCTCGCTCCTCCCGTTCCTCCTCACCTTTGCCGCCGTCGCCGCCTTCGCGAACCAAACCATCTTCCCCAGACTCGCCAGGGTCCACGACGCCCACGATGGCGAAGACCACTACCTCCCCTCGCACGCCCCGCCCAGCCTGCGCCAGGCCCACGCCGAACACGGACAAAAGAGCGCGAGGAGGCGCGTCGCGGCGGCCGTGTTTAGCGTCACGATTGCGTTGGCGACGGTGCTGGGCGAGTTGATACTGAGCGAGATTTCGGATCTGGTGAGCAGGCGCGCGAGGGAGGTTGGGTTAAGGGTTACGGTCCCGACGTTGCTTGTGCTGTTGGTGGGCGTTATTCCGTTTCTGGAGATTCAGACCGTCGTTTCGGGCGCTGGGTGGAAGTTTCAGCGGAATGGGCAGGGGAGGATACCGAGGTTCGCGTGGGGTGTGCAGATCCTCGTGTTTGGCGGGTGGGTGTTTGCGTTTTGGAGCTTGGGGGGCTTGGTTGGGCTTGATAAGACGGCTACGGCGGGCGGAGGGGTGTTGAGGGCTTGTTTGGAGAGGATTGGCGTTATTGGGATCTCGCTGATGGCGATGCTGAGCGGGTTCGCGGCGGTGTCGAGTCCGTGGCATACCCTCGGCGCGGTGTCGGAACGGAGAAAGAGGCCTGTTACGGAGGCGGATGTTTCGAGGAAGGAGGCTGGGCTGGATGCCACCAATGAGATGCTGTTGACGAAACGACACCGGCTTCAGGCGCTGGAGCGGAAGGCGGCGGAGGCGCAGTCGGGCGGGTCGTCTAGTTCCGGGGCCGGAGGCGGCGGCGGCGGGTTCATGGGCAAGATGCTCGGCGCCGTACGGGGCATGGGCGGTGGCGACGAGGCGGAGATGCGCGCTCTACGGCTGGAGATTACGGGTCTCGAGACGATGGAGGCGAATCTGCATTCCTCGCTGGGCGTGATGCGCTCGCGGCGGGCGGCGGACGCGCGCGCGGCGACGACGTTGGGTAAAGTGTTGGCTATCCCGCACTACGTCTTTTCGCTGTACTGCCTCTACCGGATCCTGGCGACGACGCTGGCGACGTTGCGGAGGGCGTATTACCCTTCCGCGAGCTTCAGCTCCTCGGACCCGATTAACCGCTTCCTCGGCCTGCTGGCGCGGCACTGGGACCCGTCCCTGGACCAGATTGCGTGGGCGCGGCAGATTAGTTTCTTGTTGTCGGGGGTTATGCTCGCGGCGAGCGCGAATAGTGTCTTGCAGACGTTCCACCTGTTTTCCAAGTGGATGCCGGGCTTGCTGTACCAGGCGCAGGCGAATTTGGCTCTGATGATTGGGCAGATTACGGCCGTGTATGTTATCAGTGCGGCGTTGTTGCTGAGGAGTAACTTGCCGCGAGAGATGGGGAGCGCGGTCGGGGATGCGTTGGCGGGCGCGCTGGAGCCAAGGTTCGTGGATTGGTGGTTTGAGGGGTGGTTTTTGGCGAGTTGTGGTGTTACTGGGTTGGGGGTATGGATTTCGAGGAGGATTGGGAGGGAGGAGTGGGATGAGTTTGGGGCGGAGGAGATGGGTGCTAAGAGGATGTAGAGGTTCTGACATCTCGCGAGGGTGTTTGAACTTTCTGGCATCCAGGTCCCAAGAGCAAGGGGGATGGAGGAGGAGGAAGTGAGATGGGCTATGAGACATGTTTTGATATTGGGGTGTCTGACTATGATGGGGAGTTTTGGGCGTGTATTAGTATTATTATACCTACGGGTTGGGATGTTCTAGGACCTTGTACAATCATGATTTCTTGACTTCAATAATTCTTACATATAAGAGGCTATTCTGATGCTCTGTTTGATGGGCCTCGAATTCGTCTTGTTTGTGTCATGGTGTACGTTGATGAGTATACAAATGTGGTGTCAACCTCATCTCACTTGTCCATACCTAAATCACAACGAGCTCCATGATATCCCAAAGTTCGCTCGCACTCTCCCCCATCCTTCGATCTTGCCTACTCAAGGTAGGACTAGCTAGATGCGATAGATATCTTGGACCAAACAAAAGGCAAAAGAATGGGGAGACTGGAGATTTCACGGTCCAACCGGGGCCTCTAGAGTCCGAAATCCCTCGACCATCTGGCCCAGTACTTGTAGGACATGAGGCTACGTGTAAGAGCTAGAGGATGATTCGATTTGATATTGAGCAAGGTGAACACTCGCAGGTACGTACTTTACCTACAATATTTTCAAACCACCTCAGCATCCCAGGCTCATACATCACAGGACCTCAGGTATACATACCCCTTAACAACCTACCACCTTACCTTCCCCCATCCACCACCCGCCTCCCCATCACATCCCCATATCCCTCCTCCAAGCATCCTTCACCTCCGCCACCATCCCCTCCCTCGTCAAAACATCAACAGCAACACCAGCCAACCCCTTCCCAACCCTCAAACTCCTCTCAAACGCAACCCTCGTCCCCGCCGCCTCCGCAAACTCGGGGTTATGCGGCCCTTGGCCCCCCTTCCCGGCAGGAATCGCAAAGCCGACGCTGAGCGAGGGCATGGCGTAGCTGATATCCCCCTGATCCGTACTCGCCATCGTCCGCCCGCGGATCTCATCCACGTCTTCGTCCGTCGGGATCGGTGCGTCATTCTCCACTGTATCGTCTCCGTCACCGGTACCGCCGGATGCGAGGAGCGTGTTAAAGTACCGCGTATACGAACGGCCCAGCACGCGGTTCGGAACATGGTCTTTATACGCCCCCGTAAACGTAACCTTGAACGTCGCGCCCGTGGCCTCGGCACCCGCAGCGAAGCACTTTTCAACCTTTTTCAAAAGCTCAGATAACCGCGGCTGCGTATCCGACCTCACCACGAAATTCGCAGCCGCATAGGCGTGGATGATATTCGGCCTTGCGCCGCCATTCGAGATATTACACTGGATCACGTCCCCGGGCCTCGTCTGCTGTCGAAGCACGGAGAGGGAGGTATACGCCACCACCAGCGCGTCGAGCGCGTTGATCCCGAGCCAGGGGTTCGCTGCCGCGTGGGCCTCGCGGCCAAAGTACTCGAGCTTGAGGGAGGTGTAGGCTGAGGTGCGCATGAGGGCTGTGGAGGGGACGATGCCGGGGTGGGATATGAGGTTGATGTCTGGGGGGCGGGAGGGGGTGCTGCCGGGGCAGGTGGCGGGGTTGTAGGCGCCGGCTTTGAGGAGGGCGATTTTGCCGCCGCCGCCTTCTTCGGCGGGGGTGCCGTAGAGGATGAGTTTGCCGGGGAGGGCGTGGCGGGCGAGGAGGGTTGAGGTTGCGAGGGCTGCTGTTAGGGAGGCGGTTGCTATTAGGTTGTGGCCGCAGGCGTGGCCTATTCCTGGGAGGCAGTCTGTTGGGGGTTGTTAGTTGGAAGTTGGGTTGTCTTGTGGGAGTTGATGGTTGATGAGAGGAGGATGAAGAGGGAGGGAGGAGGAGGAAGAGGAGGAGAGATCTCACCCATCTCGGCATTAAACGACACAACCGGTCCCTTCTTCCCGCTTTCCCAGACGGCAACCCAAGCCGTCTTCATGCCGTAGGCTGAGGGAGTGACTTTCCATCCTGGCTGGGTGCGCATGAAGGCGACGAGGGTGTCGTGGGCGATGAACTCGCGGTAGCCGAGTTCCGGGTTATCGTGGATGGTTTTGTTGACGGGCCATAGTGCTTCGGCGAGGTCTGTTACGATGGAGGAGATTTCGTCGAGGAAGGGTGGTGGTGGTGAAGATGAAGGTGAGGATGCGGATGGGGAGAATGAGGTTGAGATTAGTGAGCACGGTGAGGTTGATGTGCATGTGGGGTGGGTGTCTGCGTGGGAGACGAGGACGAAGTCGTCTTCTGGGGTGTCCATTTTGAGAGAGATTGATGTGAGTTGAGTTTACGATGAGTTTAAGGTTAATTCAAGAGGTGATTGAAGTGACAGGTTGGTGTGAGAGGTGATGGAGTTGGGTGAAGCTCAATGTCCCCGATGAGAGTGAAGTAGGTGAATAAGAACCGTTGAGAAGAGGTTGCGTAAGGAGGGTCGTCCGAAGAGACGGCGGCGTGTCTCCGACCACCGGCCGGGTTGTGTGGTTCATGTTATCTGGGAGAGAACTGTACCGAGGCCGCGGGTGCCATGCGATGCTGGTTGCCCGTTTCGGCTAGCGCATTCGCTGCGTTATGCTTGGCTTCAATTTGGATGGTGCATAAATCAGCGCATCTTATTTCTTAGGACGGGGAGATGAGGAGAATGATCGTGCTGAAGTTTTCGCAAAGTTTTGGGCATTGAAGCTGTCGCGATGGGCTGCCAAACTCACTCAACAATGGACGTTTCGCTCGTTCCAATGTGTTTGATAAGCCCGGCTTGACTGCATGCCTGAGACGGCCGAGTGGCGTTATGATTGTGTGGTTCTTTCTTGTAGCTTTGGACGCGGGTTGTGCTCTTCTGATAAGCTCATTATTAGACAGTCCTTTTGCTATTGAGTACACAATATCTTCATCGCCTGTTCCGATACCTCCATCTCGAGATCTCCAAGTTCCCCAAGTTCCAATCTCTCTCCTTTGAAACGGAATGAGTGCGCAGCCTCTTGCTGATCGCATAGCTCTTGAACCCGCCCCGAGACCAGCCCCCCCCAAACATCCACCCCTCTTCATTTCACGTAATGAACAATCACCTCTGGCCGGTCAATGCCCGTATCATCCTAATCAGCTTCGTCGACGTCTCGATCCAGTGCGTGAGCAGGAAGGGCGTGATGTAGAATATGAGAACGACGAAGATGAGGCGGCGCGCCCAGGCAGGGGGCATGAGGAGCGCTAGTATCCTCTCCGCTGGTGATGTTTCCGCTACCTGCTGCTGCTGCGAGTCTGACGACGTCTCGTCTTCTTTCGCTCCTGCGGCGGGCGAGGCGACTGGTGTTGATTTTTGCTTGGCCATTGTTTTGGTGGGGGTCTGATACAAGTAGTTAGATACGCATGATGATGAACCTGCTGGAGAGATGGCTTGAACTCACCTTTGTGTGTGAGATGATGCTGATAAGTGATGATGCGCTGGATAGTCGGCAAAAGTGAGTGAAGTTGGATGAAGACGACGATAAAGACACGCAGTCCTCTTGAGATGAGGCTGACAAGACCAACGAGGTTGCCAAGGCGCTTGGCCGTCTGACGCTCATGGCTCACTACCGTTGTTCTCTTGGGAGCTTCCTCTTTTGGGAGGGATTATGCATCGTTGTGCAGGCCGGTGGTATGCGTCCGGTAAAGGCGGCGATTGCTTGGAGACTTTCGAGGACCGGCTGTTCCCCGCCGGTGATAGCTACCCGTCGTCCGGACCCTTGTTCTTATCGTTCCGGTGTTATCGGCCGTCTTGGTCCCCGTATTCGTTGTGCGCGCCGGTTGCGCGTGGATGCGGATAGAGGTTCAGGTTTTCCGAGGGGAGGAAATATCATGAACATGTCGAACAATTTCAGACATGGATGAAGACGGCGTTGCCAATGGCGAGCATCTTGTATCTCATAAGGCAAATGCCATTATACAAGGGCACCTTATAAGTCAAGTGAGTGTTACCCAGCATGCTGGTGAACCAATGTCGTCCCACTCCAACGAGGTCACACTGGCGCTCAGGTTAGCTGACGAAGGGGCGACCAAAGTCCGACGAGACCTCATCCATGTTACCAGCTACATGAACCATTCTGCAACCAATTTGCCGCTGGCATGGTACTAAGTGAAGGAGGGGCTGGTGAGTGGAAGAAATCACCCGAGCGAGATAAGACCATTGGGAGAAAAACGTGGAATTGCCGATGGTCGGATCTACTCCGATGAACGAGACCCACACGCGCCAATGACTCCAGCCCGCGGGCCTTCACTTCAACGTTCCGCTGATAAAAGAAGTCGATGGCTCCCAACGACCTCAAAAGGAGGAGAAAGCTTTCTATTCCGGATCCTCGTGCCAATAAATTAAGACGAACCCAAGAACCTGGGACTCGGGTAAACCCACAAGTTCACTCCAGTTTCTGACAGACACCCCCCTTACTCCGTAATGACACCCACCGAAACCCCGGGCTCCGACCCGGAGAAGCGGGTCCCCACGGACATTCTCCCCTCCACCACCGGCCCCTCCCCCCTCGAAGACGACCCCGTCCCCCAAAAACACCACATCACCGACGAAACCGGCGCCCTCGCCGCCTCAGCCCTCACCTCGGCGCCCCTCGACGCCTCCGAATCCCGCTCCATCCTCACCAAACTCGACCGCCGCATCCTCCCCTTCCTCTGCATCACCTACGCCCTCCAATTCATCGACAAGACTTCGTTGGGCTACAGCTCCGTCTACGGCATTATCAAGGACAACAAGCTCGTCGGGCAGCAGTACAGCTGGGCCAGCTCCGTCTTCTATTTTGGGTATCTCGTAGCAGAGTACCCCGGCGTCGCCGTCCTCCAGCGGTTTCCCGTGGCCAAGTTTTTGGGCGTGAATATCGTGCTGTGGGGTATGATTCTCATGACCACCGCGGCGTGTAGTTCCTTTGCGGGGCTGGCGTCCGTGAGGTTCCTGCTGGGCGTCACGGAGGCGACGATCTCGCCCGGGTTCGTGGCCGTTACGGGGATGTGGTGGACGCGACAGGAACAGGCTGGTCGCTCGGCGCTGTGGGTGTCGTTCCTTGGCGTCGGGAGCTTTGTGGGCACGTTGCTCGCGTACGGCATCGGGCATATCACGGGCTCGCTGTCGCCGTGGAAGTACATCTTTCTGATTCTGGGCGCCATCACCGTCATCTGGGGCGTCGTCTTTACGATTTTCGTGCCGGATGGGCCGGCCAAGGTGGCGTGGTTGACGGAGAGGGAGAAGGTCGTGGCTGTGCAGCGCGTGGCGGAGAATCAGACCGGTACGGGCCGGAGCAGGACGTTTGTCAAGGCGCAGGTGCTTGAGGCGGCGAAGGACCCGGCGGTCATTATTTTGGGGTTGATTTCGTTTGTTAATGCGATTGCGTCGGGTGGGTTGGCGTTCGGGTCGTTGATTATTCAGGGGCTTGGGTTCAGTCCGCTTAACACGACGCTTATGAACTTGCCGCTTTCTACTGTGCAGGTTGTCACGCAGCTGGGGGCCGGGTTCTTGAGCAGCAAGATTAAGAGTTCTAGACTGCACGTCGGCACCGTTGCCATGATCCCGCCGGTATGTAATAGTGAGTCTTGCTGGCTGATATCCCACTAACCTAAGAGCTAGATCATCGGAACCTGCCTCATCAACCAACTCCACGCAGACAACAGATGGGGCCGCCTCGTCGGCGTCTGGCTGCTGGGCTCCTACCCCGTCGGCTTCATGGTCATCCTCGGTCTGCTCTCGACCAACATCGCCGGCAGCACGAAGCGCTCCGTCGCCTCGGGCTGGGTCTTTGTGTGCTACTGCGTCGGGCAGATTGCCGGCCCGCAGTTCTTCAAGAGCACCGAGGCGCCGGCATACCACAGCGGTATCGTGGCCATTCTGTGCGGGTTTATTCTCAACCTGGTCTTGAACCAGATCCTGCGGTTCCTCTATGTGTTGGAGAATAAGAAGCGCGATCGGATGCTGGAGGGTAAGTCTGAGGAGGAGGTCAAGGAGATGCAGCGGGAGGGCGAGGTGCTTGGGTTTGAGGATGTGACGGACAAAGCTAATGTGAGTATGCCTGGTGTTTGAAGTCGGTTGTTGAGTGATTTGCTAACTGTGTGTAGCCCATGTTCCGATATGTTCTCTGAGCAAGGACACTCGACCAGGTCTCAATAGTTGAAGGGATCCTATGTTGAAATGGTGCTTGAGGGATCACTAAGGGCTACGAATGTCCCGAAACCTGATTAGGTGTAGTCTAAAGTGGTAAAGTCTTAATGTCTAAGTATGTTCAACGGGGGCACTCAAAGCCTCCCCAGGTACCTCTGTGTCCTCTGCAGCTTCAACCCAGACTACCAGGGTTCAGGATGGTCCAAGCCGGATACCGGTAATCCTCTCTCGACTGATCAAACGGCCCAATGTAAGGCTTCACCAACTCAAACAGCACTCTGTACCCTTCACCCCCCAAATGCAGCCCATCCGGGATCAACACCTCCAACCCGCCCCTCTCACCCGCGGGATGCCCGAGCGGAAGCCTACTCCGACTAAACCCAATCGTCATGGACTCGGCCCGCCGCATGACGGCCTCGTGGAGATTGATCGGCACGACACCCGGAACCTCGGATGCCACGCTGAGCGCCGCGTCCGAGTACGTCTTGCTGACGGCCGCGCTGCGAGACGCCTGTCCGTGGCCCTTTTCGAGATCGCGTTCGAGCATGCGGATCTCGTCGAGGGGAGGGGGGCTCACGAGCAGGATCTTGGGGTTGTGGGCGCGTATGGTGGGGTGGGTGAGGATGGCTTTGAGGTTTTGCTTGTATTGTTCTAGGGGCACTTGTTGGCTGTTTGTAGGGATTGGGAGGCAGGCGTCGTTGGCGCCGAGGAGGATTAACTGGTTGTGAGGTTAACACCGCTGGGGGATGTGTGAGAGTTTCAATGACTGGTTGGACACACGATGTAGTCTATCTTGGGCGTCGTTGCTGAGGGTGGTGGGAAGAGGTCTGGGAGGACTCCTAGAGCGTTGGTCGTGTTATAGCCCGAGAAGCCTCTGTTGATGACGTCGAGACGTCTCATGCAGTCTGCCGGTGTTTGTTCAGCTGTCAGCGTTGAACTGCTTCAAAGACGAGCCGCGAATCATGAATTATTAAAGGTCCAACTTACGGTCCTGAAGGGCGGCTTGGAAGGAGAAGCCATCTTGAGGCGTAGAGGATAATTGGAAGAGCGAGTCTCCAAAGAGGACGACTTGATTGTAGAGCTGCGTGAGTGAGGTCGTGTTAGCATTGCGGGGGCCAATTCTAGAAGAGGAGCGCCGTGGGAAGAACTTGCCGGCATCTTTGAGGTAATCAGCACCAGTAGACGGGATGTGGGATTGGGAGAGAAAAGAGGATGAAAGATATCAGCCGTTGTGAGGATATCGTCACTCTAGGCAGACGTTGAACATGGGTGAGGAGGCAGCTTGCAGGTGGGATGCCGAGAAGTGCCCGATTAAGTCGCTCAAGGTTTGTGGGGGTGAAATCCCATATTTGTCCAATATGATTGGCTTGTTTGTGCTTCACTCTCTCTGTTTGTTCATCCCGGTACACAGAGATGTTTGTGCTCATCGCAACTGCCACACATGTTTTTGATTCAGTGTACGGGTACTTCACTTCAACATTGAGGGGTAATTCTTACATTGAACATAGGGCTTGGTGGAACAAGGAGAAACAGTCGCACTGTATCGGTTGGGTGACTACCAAGTTTTCAAGATTATCCAGTGGCCCGCAGAACGCTACCGGATGATGCGCAGCGCACAGCTGCTCGCCCAGGCAAGGTACCTAGAGAAACAAGCCTCGTCTGACGACGTTCGGAAGGTGCTCCGAAGCATGGGGCCGACTTTTCGGAGCCGGAGCCGATGCCAAGCCCGGTCTTGATCCGCCGCTCCTGTCTTTCGAGTCAAGCTTTTGACATATACCTACGTACGGCTACAGAACACCCACGTCCACATTGATTAACTGTCCGCGCTTGGACTTGCCCAGTGCCCCTCAAGCTTCAACCGAACGCGGAAAAGTCGAAAATGCAGTTACCATTCTTGACTCTCATATCTGGAATCGTCAAGTTCCAAGGGGAGAGTGAGCGGCTCACTGGGAACTGATGTGGCCTCGCCGCGAAAGGCCGATTTGAATTGAAGCCATTCCCAAGCTCAGATACGAAAGTAGGCCGGGGAACCAGATGCGCAATCGAGTTCCCGACAAAATGAGCAGAAATTCTCCAGAGTTCGGATTTTCTGCTTCCGCTCGATTCGTGGATGAAGACTCTGTTCAGACCACATCTCATGCTGCAGAAACGTGACAGACAGCACCGAACTCATCGGCCTCGACAAGGTCCCTTTCTGAAGCCTCCCGACCAAGTGGTGTACACAAAATCGAACTCCAGATCATCGAGGTTTTCCCCCGCTCCCCTAGTCATGAACGGGAATGGACATCGTCGATTGCTATTTCCATGGATGGAACAAAAGACTGCTAGAGAATGATCTTCGACCAGACACGAGGCTTTAGGGCTGCCAATAAGGCGAGTGCGCTAGCTTCCAATAGTCTGGACCTAGACGTCCGAGCTGCAAGTCATCACACGATGATCTTTGTCTGTGCCTCCTCTCTTTTTTTTCTCCTTGGGGCCACACGGGAGTCGGGAGCCGGGACAGAGAGTGTCTGTCATTAGACTGTTCTTGGCAGGGCTGCCACGCGGGCGAGGAGGTGATCCGATTCTGGAGGATACGGGAGCACCTGGACATCAACAGTTTTGATTGAGGCAGTCCATTACGTACAACAACCAAAGGAGGGCTGCTTTATTCCAGTGTTTGGGAACCGAGACAAGAAAAGCCTCGAGGCTAGCCCGCCGGTTAGGAAAGGAAGACGAAGCGTGCCATTTGTCCGGGTCAACGCCAGCGGCCGCCTTGTAGTCATTCTTTTGGGAGTTGAATGTGGCCACGAAATCTAGATGTGGTCTAAGCACATGCCTAGATTGAGAAAGAATGGCAACTGGGCGTCACATCGAGAGCTAGTCCCTATGATTGCATGGCCCTGGTTTCTGAAGGATGCGCGACGCCACAGATGGCGTTCCCCAAAACACATGGTTCGAGCTCCCTAGTGCTGATTCCGTCGCGCCTTTTGGAAGATGCATTCGGCTGTCTGAGACACGTTCTCAATGAGACCATCTTCGCGGAGCCGCTCTGTGGCGTTACTACGCTAGAAACTTGAATGGTGTGCCCCTGAAAAGAAGGAAAGACATTTCTCCAAGCGATGTGACGATGAAGAAAGGCGCTACGTGTTTGCTTGGCGGGGGGTTTAAACAATAGTATCAGTCATGACCACCTCCTGCGTAGAACCCTGGATTCTGGAATACTAATCGTCAACTGATCCTCAACGGCGCTTCAAAGTTACGGCCGAGGGTAAGGTTTTTGGGAACCTCCTGTGTCTCTCGACGACAGTATCCGAATCGCCCAGATAAAACGCCGGAGACGGGCATCGTAAAGCCTATCACGATGAGGATCCCGCCTATCGATGTGCTCATCAAGTGGCCGCGGCCAAACTACATCAACCCGGAGAACCGGGGACCGGGGCTGCTCATCATTGAGATGGTGTTCCTGGGTATCGCCATGATGTGCCTCTGCCTGCGGATGTATATCAGGATCTTCAAGATTCGACAGACGTGGTGGGATGACTGGCTCATGGTCGCCGGCATGATATTTTGCATTGGCGTCACGATTTGCGTCATTCTCGGTACGGATTACTCTTCCGGGCTCAACATCGTGCAACGGACAATGAGGAACTGCTGGGCTAACACTTTGCAATTAGCCACTGAATTATACGGTTGGAACCTGCATGTGTGGGATGTCCCACTGTCATTAATCAAGCAAAGCCGACAGGTACGTTCTCCTTGGCGTGATCTTGACTTTGAAGGCGCAACTCTAATGGTTGATGCATCGTAGATCTCCATGGCTGCGCAGACGCTCTTCCTCTTCGCTTCCGGCCTGTCGAAGCTCTCGATTCTTGCTAGCTACCTGAGGCTCGCGGCACCGGGGACATGGTTCCAACGGCTTACTTGGGTGACGGGTGGTCTCGTCTTCACCCTCACCTGGGTCTTTCTCATTGTGCTCTGGACGCAGTGCATGTAAGCCACGCTCTCACTCGGCACCTTGAGAAGAAATAGAAGACTGACTGACATCTGTCTAACTACAGGCCGATATGGCACTACTGGACCCTCTTCGCCGACTGGGGAAACTGCATCCCCGAATGGCCGCCCCTCGCAGGCCAAGGCATCACAAACGTCCTCACCGATGTCGCCGTCTACCTCCTCCCGATGCCGACCCTCTTCCGCCTCCAAATGCCTCTCTCCCAGCGCATCAGCCTCATCGTCCTCTTTGGCCTCGGCACCGTCGTCGTCATCGCGGGTCTCATGCGGACGTACTGGGTTATCCGCGTCGAGGTCCTCTACGTCGGAGACCCGTCGTACGACCTGACGTGGGACGGGTTCAATATCTGGGTGTGGACCGCGCTCGAGGCGAATTTGGCGATTGTGTGCGGGTGTGCGCCGACGCTGAGGAGGCTGTTTACGGGTGGTGGTAAAGACAAGACGCCAAAGGTGCATAGTTCGATTCAGACGATTGGCAGTTCGAGGATGAAGAGGAGGAAGAACCGGTCGTTGGGGACGGGGCAGAGGAAGGATGATGATGTTGAGGAGCATGGGTTGACGATGTTTGAGTCGAGGGGAACGGGGTCGGGGGACAAGTCGGTAGAGATTCGTGAGCATACGCATTCGAGTCATTCGTGAGGAGAAAGGAGTAGAACAGGATACCATCTCATTGGGCATGGCAAAGCTCAGGGTCAAGGCCTATTATTTCTTCATTACGATGAGTTCTTCATCACATCTCGAAACCCCTTGAATGATTCTTCAAGTACGGGCGATGTTGCGTGTCCGGGCGGTTGAACAATCCGAGTATCAGTAACCTTGGAGATCTCCCCTTCAAACCACGAATTACACACACCGATGCGGATTCTCCACACGAACAGCCTTCGGAGGCTGTGCAAGGCATTGTACCGCGTAAACTCGTCGATGGCACAATGCAAGATTCCAACCCTGTGCAAGGAGCTGGACCGCCCGTTCCTAAGCTCGCGAGACAACTCTGGCAGACTCGTCTGCACCAGATAGTCGAAACACTCTCCCACGCGCGTAATCGCCAAGCCCTCCAGCTTCTCAGGGATCAGCTCGTTCAGGTCATTGACGATGATTCCTCCGCCCTGGGATCGGCAGGTGATGCTGCCCGCATCGATGCTCAGGTGCTTCAACAGCCTAAAGTCCCGCATGTTGGCAATCGTCTCCTCGCGTTTCCACCAAGTACTCTCGTCCTCGCCAACAGGGAAGTCGATGACGAGCATCCTGAGCTGACGATGGAACTCTGGTAGCACAGCAGAAACCACCTCGCCTCGGCCATTGCGCAAGGGCGGCTCCGTGCGGTCGAAGTCGTTGCTGAGGAGCTGGCATAGCATCCGCGGCGTGAGAAGCGGTCTCTTGTGCGTGTTTTGCGCCGTCGACGGTCTGGCGTGGTACTCGAAGCTGATGAGCTTGGGCGTGGCTTGCAGGGCGTTCTTCATGCTGCTTCGGTCCATGGAGCAGGATGCAAAGGTGAGCGAACGGAGGTGCTCGAGGCGGATACCCTTTGGGATTCGAAAGGAGCACGTATCGTGGACGTGGAGCGTGGTGAGGTAGGAAGCGCTGTTGAGTATGATTCTGTGGCTCGGCGAGCTCCGGGCCTCGATGGAACGGAGATGGATGGTGAGGTTTTTCAGCGTCCACAGGAAAGCGTTGTGTGCGATTTCGTTGGTTTGTATCCAGTTCTTGAGGAGGGTGAACTTCCATGGACGGGTGAGAGTGACTTTGAGGCTGAGCAGATTGGGGAGGTAGCGGAGGAGGAGCTGAGCAATGTACTTGGCGACGTGATCTTGCGGTCCGCATTCTAGACGACATTTGTTCCAGTCGTTGGGGAAGGAGATTCCCAGACGGTCTGCGGCGTTGGTGAGCCAATCTGCGTCGAGGCTGCTCATCTGTTCTTCTGAACAGTCCATGTCTAGAGTGCTGTCGTTGTGAATCTGTACATGCCCGACTAGTTCGCGATACTGAGGCCTGCTGGGGATTTCCATCTCTGACCCCCTATTGAGCGCTCCATTGTCAAATGTTCTCCGGGACCGAGAAGTTATCCGGGGCGGGAAACTCGGAAAGAAGGTGAAGGCTTCGGAGGGGTGGCGGATGTTGTAGTAGCCCGGGTAGAGCATACAGCCCGCCACCGAGTGCATGGCTTTGCACGTCCGTATAAGCCGGGCAAGGGCTACGCCACATGCGAGGACGTCGGGGTCTCTTGTCTTGGTGCCGCTGCTGTCGTTGACGCGGAAACGACACCAGTGGCTCGAGGATGCCTTTTGCATCGGTGCTGCCAGGTGTCGACATATCTCTAAGAGCACTTCTGGCGGTAGGCTGAGAAATCTGCTTTCCGACATGGCTTCCGTGGTTCGTGGTTGATGAGCGTCGTTGGTTTGGGGCGAGGTAATGGAGGCTCTGATGGGTATGGAATTAAATGAAGTGTTCAAGATCTGAGCTAGGGAGCTAGGTTATAACGTCGATGAAGTCTCCATTTGGTCTTTCGACGAAATGGGAAGCCTTGAGCTTCATCATCTTCTCCTCTTCGTCCATGATAATGGGAGATAGATGCCTGAGCTCCTTTGTCTCGATCGCCATCACTCTTTGACAACCAAGGCGGGGAATGTGAAAGACCATATCGTTGTGAATCTTTATCCTGTGCCAGCATACTGGAAGGAGGAGATTGTGTGACTGAAAGAAAGCAGCATAGGCAAGGCCTACCTACCCCTGCCCGGCTTCGCAGAGATGGTGATGACAAGGCTGCTTTGATAAGGGACATCCTTTTCGGAAAGTGAAGAGAAGTTTCCAGTGAGCACTTTGACTACATCATTTTTGCAGATACGGGCTTAAGTATCTGGTGGCTGCCATCTTCGGGAATTCTAGACGGGATGCACGAAATGGGCAACATCTCGCGAGGAGACTAATCAATAAATCAGCACCCGTTTGGATCTAAGTTCAAGGCCAACTTACAGTTTCTCAACCTTAATACAGACGAGTGGCGCGTGCACAAGTTCAAAGCTGTCACAACGCAGCAAAGCCAAAAAGTTTTTTTATAATAATAAAAAAGTAGATAAATTACCCGAAACTCTGGCAATTTCAATAAGATTGATCAAAAACATCAAAAAAAATGCCCGAAGAATGATTTGGTCAATCGCGGTGAGGATTTGAGCCTCACGCGGGGGTCGAACCCGCAACCTTGAGATTAAGAGTCTCACGCTCTACCGATTGAGCTAGCAAGGCGGGTCTTGGATTTGATTTATTAATGGAGGTTGCAGAATTGGAACCTATCAAGGCTATTCGGCCTCGTAGGCGGCGAGTATGGCGGCAACGACTCGAGTCCTCCAGGCTCCGACGTCTGATTACCAAAATCTCGATATCCCGCCGGCTGCTCAGAAAGAGGAAGGGGTTGTGTCTATATCAAGGCTGGTGCAACTCAATACCCGTGCCAAGCCATCTTTGGCGTTAGACCGGTCGGTAAATGATATCTGTACTTGTCTCAAACATAATGACGCTTGTGGCTTCGGCAGGTTGACAAATTGCATTCCTTTCACATTCTTTTTGATGCTGACTTGTACAATTGCAGCACCTCCCATCTTAGATCGATCTGTATGCTTACGAGCCCGATGGATCTTTGCAAAAGGATCAGGAAATGGTTTCTCCTTTGTTTTGGTTTTTTTGGAAATTAATCGGGATGCAAAGTGGCCTTTGCTCGAGTTTCCCTCTCTCTTAATTCGCCTGCCTGGGCAGACTAACTCGGCTACTGGGATCTTATTCATCAAAGGGCGAAGTTGCCTCGGCTCACCAGCCATTTCATTTACCAATTTCCGACGCCGACACACTCGGGTCAACCGAAAAACACAGACCAGTGGTCCCCGGTGTGTCAAGTATTTCGAGAGATGGATTCGCGAGTATTGTACTATTTTGGGGGTATGAGTCGGCGATTGAAGCTCAGATCGGCGGATTTAGCTTAGGTTTTTTTTCTTTCTTTTTCATGTGGTTTCTTACTCCTATTTTGGGGGGAGAAGCGCAGCTTGCGAGATACGCTATATCGACGGGCTACAGGGACAGAAAACCGACCCTTGTCTGTTTTACAGCTGGGGCGAAAGTCTGTGATTGAGCTTATTGGGTCACTTCATTTGATTGAAGTGAAACATTCCCCAATGCTGATCCCATTCTATCAAGTTCCAGAGGCCGTTTTTTCTATGGCGGATGATTTTTAACTAGTTACGGTGTCACCCGAGACTAGACAAGACATGACAAAGTCCCACGGCAGTTTCTCTGTCAGAGAAGAAACGATATTTCGACAAATGCTTCAAAAGGGAGGCGCTTCGAAAGTCATCTGCCGATGATCCGTCACACTTGGCGGCGCCCCCCCTCCTAGTCTTCCCCCTCCCTGAGTTCCTCCCATCATCCATGAGTTAGGCATGTTCGGTGTTCGAACATGGTTTCTTCGCGAAATAGCTCGCCGGCACAGGCAACGCCGCAACGCCGCAACGCCGCGACGCACCGGTGGACGGGTGGACGGGGGGCAGGGTTGCGCAGAATGCGAGCATTGTTTCTGCATTCATCTCCTTTTTCCATTGTCTCGATTTAGGAACGTCTCATTGGTCAGCTGTCAGGCGTAGCTGAGCCCGACACCATGAAGCATGAGCCATTGACAGGGCCTAGAATCCAGACGAATCCAGAGACGCTAGTTGCTCATGTCATTATCCGAGCCCTAACAATTTAGCTCGTGACAATCAAATCGTCTGATTTGTTAGACAGACGGCAACGGGCGGAGGTCGGTTGTCCCCCCAAGTGGTAATGTCAAGACTCGAGTATCAGTACTGGGCTCTATAAGATATATGAGCAGAAAGGGTGAGGTGAGGATAAAGAAGAGGTAGGCTACTGCACAGTAAGAGGCACAGGCGATATGACAAAAGTTCTCTTTGCATAATCATCCCCCCCGTCCAACAGACATAACTTGAACATCGCACAGCCGCACTCGCATTCCCTTCTTGGGTCATCAATCTCATCAACACCCGACGGTACGCTTCACCCCCCTCTCCCCCTCCCTCCCCTGGTCTTCTCGACGCCAAGTCCAAGTGACCAAATAATTTAGCGCCGTGTTGGATCGGCCATAGGAAGCACAGGCGTGCCAGGTCCTCCTCAGGTGACAACTGCAGCTGTGCAGGGGAGGGGGAAGAGCCCGAAGAGACTCATTTGGTGAAGAAACGCATCTTGATGGTGGTGCGGCGGTGGTGGCCGCAGCCGCCCCCAAATTGACCCAAATTTGCACCCAAATTGAGGACAGAAGAGGGGACAAGTCACAGTCAAAAAAGAGCCAAAAAGAGCAGTCGACTGGACGCAGGGAGAGACAGGGAACAAGTGACACCGCAACCCGCGCCGCCCACTCGCGCTGCGCCTGCGCGTAGGAAGGAGAACGGTGAAGCAGAGAAGCAGAAGCAGAAGCAGAACTAGGTAAAACCAGACTATGCCAGACCAGGCAGTGCCGCAGGCAGGAATTTGCTGCTCACTCACCTTTTGGTCGAGGGGGAGAGAGAGGGGCCGGAGGGCGGAGGGGAAGGGGGCGGGCAGACAAAAAAGAAGAAGAACGAGAAGAACAAGAAGAGGTAGAGGAAAAAAGTAAGCAGCCTATAGACACAGACAGAGAGACACGAACCAATCTCATCCTCTTACCACATTTCAGCCTCGGGTCCTGCGTCTAGTCTGCCTGCCTGGCCTCATCGCCGCGGCTGATTTTCTGCCCCTCCAAAACTTGAAACGCAACAACTTGCTGCTCTTTTGTTTTTTCCCTTATCCCTTTTTCCTTCTAGATCATCAGGAAGAGCCTTCCTTGCCTCACTCCCGTTCTCCTCGTTTTTTTTCTCTTTCTTTCCCGCCAGGCCCCCAGCCGCTGCCGCTGCCTCCGGGACTTCGGAAACTTCCTGCACCACACACCCAAATCCCGCACGCATTTGCCGCGCTGTCGAACGTGCTTTGTGCGGGTACTCGGACCTGGGTCCGGGGTTTTTTTCCTTCACACCCTTCCGCCTACCATCTGGAGCACACGCGGGACCGTAGACAGCAGAGCGAAGCAAAAGCAGGGCATAATGACACGGAAGGGCCAGCCAAAGGTTCGGACTGGCTGTTTAACCTGCAAGTGAGTCCTTTTTCTCATACTGTATTCCCTCTTTTTACTTTTGCCTTTTTTTTCTTGATTGTCGGCCCGGGGCCGTCTGCGCGGCGCTGCCTTGGCTTCAGCCCAAATCCCAGCCTTGGGGGAACATGTTATATCCCTCAAACGTCGGATGACTTCCGGATGACTTCCGGATGGTCTCCGGGGCTGCAGTTTTGAACCGGGGCCGGCTGCCGAGACGAGACCGGACGAACGGCCCCGTCTCCGGCTGCGTATATACGGTGTGTACATGTATATGGTGTGTGTAAGGTGTGCCGTACCGTGTGCGCGTGTGGTTTATGTGTATGTGAGTGTGTGACCAAGCGGCCACCGGGCCTCACCCTCCGTCTCCGACTCCGTTCCCACATTCACAATCCCGTCCTGAAGAAGAAAAAGGAAACACCCTCCCTCAACCGTTCGTTTTCGCCATTCTTACTTCTCTCTCTTCACCATTCAACTAGGTCACGCAAGGTAAAGTGCGATGAAGCAAAACCGGCATGCGCACGCTGCACCAGCACCGGCCGCAAATGCGAAGGCTACGCCGTCGTCGTCCCCAGCAATAGGGCCGTTGCCCGCGCCCGGTCGCGAACCACGAGGCTGAGAGATGCGCTCGCGCAGGCCAGGGCCGGCTGGGAATTCGAATCGGACCAGGCCACCGTGGAGTACTTTGCTCGGGACGTCGCGCCCAACCTGCCGCAGAACTTTGAGAACAAGTTCTGGTCCGACCTCGTGCCGCGCCTGAGTAAGTCGGAGCCCGCCGTGATGCATGCCATGGCTGCCATTGGCAATCTTTTTCCGCAGCGAGGACCACCGAGTAACCCGATCCAAGGAGCAACGGCGACGACAGCGGCAACGAGTACCGATAGAGGGGGCGGGAATCCGCAGGCCGACGAGCATTATGGCAAGGCGTTGCGGTTGATGGCCAACAAGGTCGCGCCGGAGAGAGGGTTCGAGGATGTTCAGACGACGTTGGGAACAGCTACCGCCACTAGAGCGACTTCGACGACGACGACGACGATACGAAACGACAGCAGGTCCTTTGGATCACCCAGCAACCTTTCATCCCCGAGCCTGTCCTCCCTCGGACCGTCATCAGCCATCCAATCCCCAGCAGCTCTGACGCCAGGCATCTCGAGCATACCAGAGCTCGCAGAACCAGACCGGCAATACACCCTCACGCCGACGAACCCCTTCACATCACCC